GGATTGACCTCATCAAGAAAGACCGTATCTTGGGCCCAACATCGTCTACTGGAGGCTCCTCAACTATAAGCGGGTTATGGTTGTAGTCAGGAGCATTACGCGTCCTCGCCTTGTATTTGTAACATGCTCTCAAAATCGAAAAACAAGTGTACATGTACATGGTGTAGTTGGTCGCAGAACGGATTGACTGGTCACTGACAACAGATGCGTAGAGCTCATATTTGAGTGACATCTTCTTTACTTATAAAAGAGAGGCACCTGTGACGTGTGTCTGTGTGTGTGTGTGTCACGCTCCTTATAAAGAAGAGGCACCTGTGACGTGTGTTTTTGTGTCACGCTGAAGCGCTGCGGAGCAGCGCTGCCCTGAGCACGCGAAGCGTGCGAACAGTGTAGCACAGTGTAGCTAGCTAGCGGCCGCAGAAGCACTGAGCACGCGAAGCGTGCGAATCGTGTAGCTAGCGGAAGCAGCCACAGAAGCACTGTACTGTCGAGCTGAGCACGCGAAGCGTGCGAATCGTGTAGCCACCACCACGTGCTGAGCACGCGAAGCGTGCGAACAGTGCAGTGTATGGTGGTAGCAGCCACGATCAGTACGACTACGAGTAGCAGTAGCAGCCGCGCGCAGAAGCACTGAGCACGCAAAGCGTGCGAATCATGTAGCCACCTAGCCTAGGCCATAGGTAGCACTAGCAGCCGCACAAGCGCTGCGGACCACGTGAACCGTTCTCTGCAAATAGAAACATCTGCAACAAAAGGATACAAAAGATCTGCACTGACTGCACTCTGCATCTGATCTGCAGTGAAGAGCGCATCGCACTTTTGTTCGTAAGTTTATGAATTTTTTGAGCCGGGGGCTTCATCCGCCACCAGGTGATGGACAACCCTGACCAGCCTCCCGAAGGCGTAACAGACGTCCCTCCTTCTCCTTCCAACCACGAAGAACCTTCCTCACCAGGACTTCAGCGGTCTGGCCACCACCACGTGCTGAGCAAGTGTGCTGTTCATGTACTTGCTTCACCCGCATGCCACATTCGGCCAGGCAACGCTGGCCTGGGGTGCTGCTAGTGCGTTTATATTTCTATTTTGTTACTGAAGACACAACCTTCTCGTAAGAAGAGGGGAGAGAAATAACAACAACGTCGAATGGAAGAGTAGAGGCCCCAACTTCCAAGAAGGAACTTGTGCTGGTGAGGAAAGCCAACAACGCCGACCTGTCAGTGTAGGAGCAGAGGGGATTATTGTGAAAGGCGTACTACCATTGCTATTGTTACATGCACTTCAGAATCGCCATCAACAGCACCGGCTGGATAGACCTATCACGAATGCTGTTTCGAATAAAGCAGTCTAAGAGCCTCCTTTTCAGAATCTTAGACTCAGAGCAGAAAGAAGAAGAAGCGGCGGTAGATAACAAAAAAATAATAGGGGGTTTGCTAGTGCTAAAGTGCATGACTTTGAGGTATCTAGAATAAATTGGAAGCGTTTCCAATTCTTCAAGGCAGTACCTGCATCTGCGCAATCCACACCAGTCCAAATGAAAACTAGGAAATTTTAGAACCTAACGTTTTCATTCCCTTCTCTTCATGGTCTCTTACAGGGAATATAGCGAAAATGATTAAAATAGCAATTAGGCCAAACTAAAGAAGGTGTGTGGTTCGACTCACGATCACCCGACCGACCGTACAATTTCAGCCCGACCGTAACTTTTTTTCGGCGGGCTGTCGTGTGACTGACGTACGTGGACTGAACACGTCCACGTCTACGTGCTGTGCGGCGTGAGTCTGCGGACGCAGGCGGCTCCTTTTGGACTTGACTTGTAGTTGTACTGCAGTGCAGTGCAGTGAGTGGTACGACTGCTGCCTTGTGCTGGTAGTAGAGTCTACTCGATACGCGTATACAGTGTATTTACATGTACTAAAAAATATATTAAAAAAAAAAAATCCGCCCGCCCGCCCGTAAAAAAAATGTCCATGTTAGTCGAACCACACACCTTCTTTAGTTTGGCCTTAAGTGCTTAATAAAAACTCGGATGTTGAGCCAAGAGTAATAAATATGTAAAGAGAAAAGGACCTATACCGGTAAGGCACTAGTTACTAGTTATTAGTTATGACTAACAGTCCACCAAGGTAACGAGATAATAATTATACAGTCAGATAATGCAACAACGAGGCACAAAAACCTGACAGCCGGATATTGAGACATTCGACGACCTACACCTACATGTAGCTCCTACACATCTACGAAGCGCAAACCAACAACAACCTTGCAACAACAACAACCTTCCAACAACCTTCCAACAACCTTCCAACAACCTTCCAACAACCTTGCAACAACAACAACCTTCCAACAACCTTCCAACAACCTTCCAACAACCTTCCAACAACAACAACCTTCCAACAACCTTCCAACAACCTTCCAACAACAACAACCTTCCAACAACCTTCCAACAACCTTCCAACAACCTTCCAACAACCTTCCAACTTGTTACTTGGAAGGCTCAGGTGCGGAAAGCTCCAATGAGGGGAAGGACGCTTGACAACGTACAGAGGCTTCGTACGCCCTGTACTCGAATACGCACCATTGACATGGATGGGCGCAGCCAACTCTCACCTGCAAAGTCTCGACCGAGTACAGCGGAAGGCCCTTGCTATCATTGGTCCTGACGCCTTGCTGCAGAGCCTAGCTGCCCGCCGCCAAGTGTACGCTCTCACGTACATGTACAAGCTAATGTGCCTTCAAGACCATCCAGATCTCTCTGCGCTCGTGCCGCCTCGCCAGGAAGCTAGCCTCGTCCCGCGGACAAGGTCGCAGCTCCGTGTCCGCCACCAGCATCAGCTACAAGCAGTGCTCCTCCCTACGGCCCCCAACTTTCTCCAGCGTTCGTTCCCATATGGTGTAGTGGATGAATGGAACAGGCTTCCGCAAGACATGTTTCCGGATCCGATGCCCCAGTTGAAGTCTCTCCAATCCTTCAAGACGAAGGTCCATCGCCACTTGCGTCAAAAGAATTGGCTCTGGGCTACGGACTCCCTGTGAGGCTATGCCACCCGTCAATGAGCAACTACCCTCGTCCATCATCTCTTTCTTGTTTTATATTTATTTCTCTTCTCATCTCTTTCTTGTTTTATTTTATTTCTCTTCTCATCTCTTTCTTGTTTTATTTCTCTTCTCATCTCTTTCTTGTTTTATTTTATTTATTTATTTCTCTCTCTCTCTCTCTCTCTCTCTCCCTCCCTCTCTATCTCTCTCTCTCTCTCTCTCTCTCTCTCTCTCTCTCTCTCTCTCTCTCTCTCTCTCTCTCTCTCTCTCTCTCTCTCTCTCTCTCTCTCTCTCTCTCTCTCTCTCTCTCTCTCTCTCTCTCTCTCTCTCTCCCTCCCTCTCCCCCCCCCCTCTCTCTCTCTCTCTCTCTCTCTCTCTCTCTCTCTCTCTCTCTCTCTCTCTCTCTCTCTCTCTCTCTCTCTCTCTCTCTCTTTCTCACTTGATCTCCCTCCCTCCCTAGCTGCATTCCTAACGATGCCTGGTCGTAGGCTATGATTCCGAGACCTCCGGTCGGATGAGCCTCGCCAACCACATCGGCACATCGCCCCTACTCCCCTTTGTCTTGTTGTCCAGCGTCATTTCAGTTGTCCTCTTCCCCTGATTATTAGTAGGGCTGTGTTTTTTAGTAAAAAAAAAAAAAAAAAAAAAAAAAAAAAAGGGATGCGCCACGAAGATGTGCACGAGCTACGTCCCTCGCCAACAAAGAATGTCGAAAGTTACGGGATGATGGTGACGAGACTAGTAAGACCATTGCCTTTGGACAAACCGGTCTAACTGCAACTCGAAAACGCAAGGCAACAGACCACCCAACTTGGGAGGCTCAAAGGTATGTAAAAAAATACATAAAGAGTAATACGCCGTATTGCTGGTGACGGCTCATCAGGTGTAGTCCTTCGCTTATTGAATACAATGATTATGTACAGTCAAATCTCTTTAGGACGAACATCAAGGGATCGATGATATTTGTTCGCAATAACGGGAGTTCTTCTTATCCATAATATGTTTTACCCAGTGAACACACAGGGTTTATCCAGTTACGAATACTAGTTCTTCTTAGCCTTAGGCAAACATTTGTCTTATCATGACTGTGTTCTTCCTAACGACGTTTCACTGTGCAGTAGATTGAATGCGTATTGAATACGCCATCATTACATTATTACATCATTACATTATATTATAACCTAACACTGGTTAGAAAAACAGTATTAGATAAACCTTCAAGGCTTGTTATAGTTCACGCAATTTGTTAGATTGACAGCATGAAACAAGGTGGAGGACACTGTGTTCGGAAACAGTAACCTTACAACCTTCCGCGGTTGGCAGAGCCCCGGTCCCTGCGGACCATCTGAACCATATGGGTGTCGCACAAGAGCGAAGAATACAAAACGGACGTCAGGAGTAGTCTCCTAACCCCCTAGCATAATGAGGGTCAGAACCGGGTGCGACACCCATATGGTTCAGATGGTCCGCAGGCCGTAGGGACCGGCGGATTCTGCTCGAAAAGCAGTAAAATAATTAATTGGCAGAACCATACAAACCTTCTGGCGGGCAATTCCTCGAATTTTGCTCCATTTCTTTATCCACATACCAAACATGCATGAAACGTACCAGAAAAAGTACCGAATTCTGCCAATTTTTCTGCCGGCAGAATCCACTGGACCCTACCGCAGGGACCGGGGCTCTGCCAACCGCGGAAGGTTGTACAGTAGCCAGTAGTAAGGTCACTGTTTCCGAACACAGTGTCCTCCGATCCACCTGGTTTCATGCTGTCAATCTAACAAAATATTGCCATCAATCATTACAATGTCATGTACCAGTTTTTATGGGGTTACCATAGGGAATGTGACTATAGCAACGCTGCTTGAACTCCTCGGCTCGCTCTCTCACTCTCAGTCTCACCCCCTCGATCGAGTCTGTTATGTGCGCACATGAGCGTGACGAGTAGACTGACACTTGAATGAAGTTCGAACTACTTGCGAATCAAAATAAATACAAGCTACAAAGACGCGAGTTCCAAGCGATGGATATCACCTTGCGATGGGTGTGAACTAGCGCGACCCGCGCAGAAGAAACCGATTGTCGTCTGTGGAGCGGGCACAAGGATATATGCTTCGCGTTGTATACAATGGCAAGTCTCAGTGCGAGCGGACGGCGACCTCTGCAAAGCAGTAGCACCAGCGGAAACAGGCAGAGTTTGACTCGAACGCTGGATAAACCCCTCGGACTACAGCAGCGAAACCTGGAGCAGCAGAAGCCGCGGCAGCAGAAACAAGAAAACCTTGGCGGTACATTGGAGGAAAGTGCGCTCCAGGCCATTCTCTCCGGCGATGTGGCCCTTCTCGAGTCCAGTGTCAAGCGAGGACTAAGCGTTTCTGCGGTGTTCCAGGGCCGGGACAAGTTCACTGCTCTGCATTTAGCAGCTCTGCATGGCAGCGTGGAGGTAAGACGACGATGCAATGCGGCGGGATACATGTATTTGTGTAGGTGTACAAGTACCGGTAGTTGTAGTTGGCGAGAATCACCAGTCGTGGAGCTGGAGTCTTGACTGACTGAATTACAGTCGATAAGAGGCTAGCGGGGTCGTACCAGTCACACGACGACATGTTTTGCTTTGGTCTTCTGGTATTGGCTACTATTGCTTTGCGGCCTTGTGTCAAAGTTCTGAAGTAAGTACAGACTCAGTGCTGGCAACTGAAATCCAACCCCCTGGGCGTCGGATTTCAGTTGCCTGCACTGTAGTTACAGGGGCGTGCTCGGCCCCCCAACTAGGGGGGTGCACGGGAGCCGAGGGGAGCCCCCCCCCCCCCCGGCAATTTTCTGCAATTCGTTTGCAACCTTTCTTGAATTTTAGAGCATATTTGCATACATTACAATTGCAATTACCCAGATTGGAAATTTTAGGGGGGTGCACGTGCCCCCCGTGCCCATTGCCGAGCACGCGCCTGAGTTAGTTGTGGACTGTTGACAGTTGGTACATGATGACCACGGCACCACTGATGCTCGGACGTTGGGCAGCCCTAGACCTGCAACTGATACCTGGATACTGGGCTGCGAAATGGTGAAGGCGGAAACTAGAGTGACGCGACTGGATTTCATTGAGCAGGACTGTAGTACGTTTGAATGAATAGCTGCACAGGCATGTTGGCAGTTTGTCTTGCCCATGGCAAATCGATTGAAATGCTACCATGGGACATTCTAAGATACCTCACTGTGTTACCCGTTCCCGCCCTGGTACGCCAGCAGCACCATGCCAATATGCTGTGTGTGTGTGTGTGTGTGTGTGTGTGTGTGTGTGTGTGTGTGTGTGTCCTATATGGTGCAGTGGTATGTGCAGCGATTTCCAATCGATAGATTGCGGGTTCGATTCCCGACGATTTTGGTCACACACGTCTTTCTTCTCTTCTCAGACTCTTCCTGACTTTCCTTTCATTCTCCTGGGTGGTTACCAACAGCCAGTGCATGCCGGAGTATGTGGTGTGATGTGTGTGCGGGAAAAAAATTGAAAAGACCAAAAATAGGGATTCACTGGCCAGAGAAAGTCACTTCAAAATAGCTGTATGGTGTAGACCAGGCTGAATAGTGACGGTCAATTCTTCAGCCTTGCAAGCTGTTGAATGGTGCAATCCCAGCACAAGTTGCTATGGCTTCTGCCGTAGCATTGCTATCATCGCCTCCGGCGATGGGCGTCAAAGGTCAAGGTCAAAGGTGTGTGTGTGTGTGTGTGTGTGTGTGTGCGTGTGTGTGTGTGCGTGTGTGTGTGTGTGTGTGTGTGTGTGTCAATTCTTCAGCCTTGCAAGCTGTTGAATGGTGCAATCCCAGCACAAACTGCTATGGCTTCTGCTGTAGCATCGCTATCATCGCCTCCAGCGATGGGCGTCAAATGGTCAAATGGTGTGTGTGTGTGTTGATGTGTGTGTGTGTGTGTGTGTTATCTCTCTCCCTTCTGGCCTGGGTCATTAATCTAACTCATGATAGTGTTTGCAATGGCTGCTGTGGCAAAAAGTGGACACGTCGTTGCGTTGCCAGCACCAGTGGACGGCGTTACACGTTGCCACCATCCGTGGACAAGACGCGTGCGCTCAGGTGGGCTGGCATGCACCGCACCGTTATGTATTCCGTGCTTGGCTTTACTCAGTCACTATGCAGTAAGATCAGGCGCCGAAGAACGCAGCCTGGGCTCAAGGCGCAGCCTAGTATTTTTTTCTAAAATGTTCAAATGTTAGTTGTTTTGTTCTTATTCCGCGATCATGGAGAGCATGACACGATATGATCAGATCATGCCATGTGGAAAAAAACACATAAAGAAACAGTACACGAGTTCTTTTAAAATCTGAAAATCTAGCCTGGATTGTTCTTCAATTAGGGAAGACCAAAATAAAATCGAGATTCCCAGGCAGGACCCATGTGAAATTGGTGCGGGCGGGCGAATTTTTAATTTGTTTCCAATGCACGCCATGCTGAACTTTTTTTTACAGTATTTTCCGGTAAATTGTATTCATTTTTTTACAGAAAACAGGTACGCGGCGCGGTTTACCCGTTCATTATTTGTCTGTATTTCGGCCAACAATTGCCCTGATCTGTACAGCAGGGAGTCGTACAAGCCCGGGTTTATCACGGTGACCCCACGTCACTGGTCTCCTCACATGATCAGTACTGTACATGTATATGAACTGCTCAAAAAAAATGGCTTTGGCTCGATTTTGGTGCGGGAGGGCCCGGGAATCTCTGTTTTTTTTTGGTCTCGCCTTAGTGCCATTTTACAGCCGAAGTGTTCTTCAGCGAAGTATTCTACGGCGCCCGATCTTACTGTAGTTATTGTGGCTATAGAGGTTATGCGATGACGTCATCTGTTGAAATGTTTGGCAAAGTCGCTGCACAGCCCTGCGCATGTGCTAGCGATCGAATCACTCTGCGTGCTTAGCGCCCATTAGAAATTCGCTGACTCATTCCATGAAATTACTCGCATTACCTCTATTGGCAGGGCTAGGGGATATGAACTCTTGATTAGATGGTGGTTCTGCTGTCACCTACACAGGCGATTAGTTCTCGCTCATTTAGTAACCATGGTAGCCGACTCAGATGACCAAAGCACCAGAGCGCTATAGCTAGTATCTCATTGTGTGTGTGTGTGTGTATGTGTGTATATATGTGTGTATGGTGCAATCCCAGCACAAGTTGCTATGGCTTCTGCCGTAGCATTGCTATCATCGCCTTCGGCGATGGGCGTCAAAGGTCAAAGGTGTGTATGTGTGTGTGTGTGTGTGTGTGTATGTGTTTAATGCCCCTTATTTTCCCACTTGGTTTTTGCAACCAGACACTCTTGTCCCACGGTGCACGCCACGACTGCAAGGATGATCGAGGTAAGTCGTGGCAATGTATTCTGTGCATGGTTTGAGCAACAACAGTACCCCCCCCCCCCCCTCCCCCTCCCCAAGTGTGCAACTCTACTTACACCATCTCAATGTATTTTTAAATATAAGAAATTGGTTGCTCGCTGTGTTGGACTCACACTTTTCCGGCCAACTTGCCTTGACATTTGATTGGCCGTGAGAGCAGTTGTGACTGAGGGTGGAGTTTGCACTTGTACACTTGTGTACATCGATAACGGCAGTTGGGAACCCCAAATTTCGGGTCAGAACCGAACCTTCTAATAATCCAGACATTCTAGTTAAACAAAGTGGCTGGGGTCCTTGCTGACATTCTAGTTATCCAAACGTGTGCCCACAATACACTACATGTATGCCGTATTAACTATTAATACGTATGTAAAATGCTCACATTGTCACTCAGAGTTGTCGCATATTGCGTTTATTGACACGGATTCCGGGCACTCTGAACTGGCCAGAAAAACCTGCTCGTATGCACACATAAAGTGGGCTTTTAGTTACGCCTCGCCTCGCACATTTTCTATGTAATGTTATGCGGATTTCGAGAGGCTTCTCATAAGGTGTATGTGCCCAGTCTTAAGTTCGAGTTATCAGGCATTGCTACGTGGGAATCACATGGACTGTACTGAATTTCGCTCCCTAACAAATTTGTTCATCACTGGGTCAGACCCGAGCTGTCACACCTCTGTGTGGCTACATCCTTGTACTTGCACTGCTCATTGCTTCCGTTTTGAAATGTGCGATTGCTGTTGCAAGGCTCTACACCATGTCACCTGGCTGCAGTTCATGGACACAACCAGCTGCTGCAAACACTGCTACGCTCCGGTGCGGTACGTACTGGCAAAGGTGTTGACAGTGTGGTTTGTAAGGATTCTGAATATTACCTATTCAAGGGAGAGTACTAGTGGATTCCTGCATGATCTATACCAGTCCTGCACATTCTTTCTCAGTCTATCCAAAGGGGAAAGTTGGTGGCGTCTGCCCTACATTGGCCCATCTCTTGTATATGTTCTCTTGCTGAAGGCGGTCGACGCAACAGATATCCTTGGCTGGTCTCCACTGCATTCAGCAGCGTATCACGGCCGACTGGGAGCAATGACGGTGAGTGACTATGCAGATACTAGCAATAGATGTTCAAGACTTCGTCCAGGTGTTTGTCAAGATTCTGTTAGGTTCTTGGTGATTTTGAAGCGATGATAGTTTCATGCCCCGTTGTGCCAAGTATGTATAGTGTACTTTGGCGAAAGAGTCTTTCTAAAATTGGTGTTGTGCACAATATTCTACTGAAAGAACCTTGACTACTGGTCAGAGTACTCGATGCACGACATGCAGAGCTTCAATACAAACGAAAATCCGGTGGAACAAAAAAGTGTAGAGATTCACTGCTACTGTGAATTTGGTTTTCTCCATCATCTTTGTGCGCATTCTGTAGACTTTAGTTCGCTGGGGAGGCGACCTCAAGGCTACAGACGGCAGTGGGAACCTACCAGGTAAGAGATGGATGCAACTTGTGCTTGGTGAATGAATATTTTATTACTCAATCTACGGACACAACTGTTTCGTCCTTTGTGGACACGTCAGCGCAGCACAGAGAAAACAAGGCTAAACCTGATAGCAATGAAACTCTTACAGATTTAAACCTGACCCAAACGCACCTTGCCAAAGTGCTCAAACTGGCAAGTCAGTGAGCTCTGGATAGGCATTACAAGTAGGTATACAGAGATTGATCAAGTTGTGTTGGGCGGAAGTGCCGAGTACTCGAAGTATATGTCATGGGAGTCCTGGCCTTCATAGATCTGTTTTCCTGTTGTGTCCATGGCACGTGGCCGGAGAGCTAGAAATCTGAGTCCACCGTATACATGACTGTAGATAAGTTAATGCCCTGTAATGAAAGCTGTAATGAAAGCTGTAATGAAAGCTGTAATGAAAGCTGTAATGAAAGCTGTAATGAAAGAGACATTTGCAGTGTCCAGTTTCATTGTACAATGTTGCGGCATTGCTCTTGTTGATAGGCCATCATGCTGCATCGCAGGGTCATTTGCCCTGCGTGAAGTTCATCATGTCTGCCGTAAGTGATGTCCAACATCAACTAACCAGCATCAATGACCAAGCCGAGACTATGAAAGATTTGGCGGGCAGCTTTCTCAAGCAGTCGTGTCTGGACTACCTTGATAACGTTGGTACGGAACACGCCTACGATTCGATAAGTAGTACTTCAAAGTACTCACCAGTAGTTGCTGCTATACCAAACTGGACTGTGTAATTGAGCATTGCTAAGAAAACTTACTTACTCAGTGCATCTACAGCGATAGATGGATGTGAGGGCCATGCTTATGTTCGATTTTCTTTAAGTTTTTACTTCAAAGTACATGACTGTACAGTGTACATCAGTGGTGTAGTCAATGCTTCGTTTTTCCAAACGTGGGGAAGCTGCCTGATGCACTTTGAAGAATGTTTTATGGAGCCTAACCGTGACCTGACATGTCATTTTCTGGTCAGTTTGTCCTAGAAAAAGATGTAGCAAATGCATTGTCTGGATGTCTTCCCTCTGCAGAATTGGACACACAACATGGTGGCCAACAGGACACAAGTAAGTAGAGAAACCCAGCTAAACCCAACTCGATTACTATGCCCACAAACCGATTCATGAATCCATTCATGAATCGCCCCTGGTAGTTCACATCACCCCATGTGAATAGGGTGAATGGATTCTGAATCGATTCTAGGGCTCATGACATGAAATCGAACGGCGAGATTCTGTTCATGAATCGATTCAAGTGCAAGTGCGTAATCGAACAACGCACTCAGTGAGTACATGCACCGTAGGCAGACATGGTATGGTATGGTATTGATTCATCTTGTGCCAGTGGAGTGCACCACGTGATTTATCTGTGATGTGACTGTATGGTACATGTGCGGCAGTAAAGCTGGGCTCAACCAGTCCCAAAGATGCACAGCAATGTCGGTCATGCCTGTGGACTGACCACACTGCACCTATGTGTTTGCAGCTTAGATGTGTGTTTAGGGCAGCAATGACAGATTTAGGGTTGCCCTGAAATGGGGCCAATGCCGCCATTATATACTACTTCCAAGAGCTGTTGCTGGGATTGGTGGTACTCTACCATCACTATTACCTAGGCAAACCAGACTCTGTTTGAAAAAGAGGTGCTCCGGCAGACCCTTGCCCCTCCCCTGAATCTGCTAGTCTACATCATGTAGTTGCAAGAATAACATCAAGCTGATGTGACTGAGATGGGACAGGATCGAGTCTTGTGTTTTTCTGTGTGTATGCTTGATCCTGTAGATTGAGTGCTGCATGTGTGTATGTGTGTGCGTACATGTGTGTGTGTGTGCGCGCGCGCGTGCGTGTGTGCGTACGTGCATGTGCATGTGCGTGTGTGTGTGTGTGTGTGTGTGTGTGTGTGGTTGGTCCCCTAGATCTAGCTTACCCAGGCCATGCAGCAGCCTACCAGGGCAACGTAGAGCTGCTACACTCTCTACTGGCTCGTCATCAGATCAGTATCAATGACCGGGATGAAAGAGGCGCCACTCTCGTTCATAGAGGTATGCAGTAGAGTGGTGATTGATTTATAGCGTTCCTTACTCTCCCGTTTTGCCACAGTGAATTCTGGCATAAGTTTTGTATGCTCGAGTACAGAATACAGTGCATGCATTCCTTGTGGACTGCAATGCAAATGGGCAGCCCTGCAGACTATTGTGCCTTTAGCAAGAAAATGTGGTCTTCTCACCCCAATGCCCTTGCTTTGTGTCAGGGAGTCGTAAAACACCTTTTTTACGACTCCCTGCTTTGTATTGTCCCGTGAGCCGTAACCCTGGCCTCGTACCCCCTAGGGCAAGCACAGGCAAAACACAGGGTAAAAGGGATTATTGTACGGCATTTTCTGGAGTATCATGAAAAGTCTGCTGCACTTTCTGCGACCTTTCCACTGGTCTTGTATGGCAGGCTCAGACTAATGTTCCATCCGATGATCCTTTGCTGACAAACTGACACAGAAAACTTGTATTCCATGGGCAAAAGTGTGAGTTCGGTTATCACTGCGGCAGTGGAATCACTTCTTCACAAGGTGCCATACACCAACTTGCTACTACCTCATCTTGTTCTGTTTGTGAATCAGTGCTCCATGTTTCTCGTGTCCACGTCTGATGTTGTCTGCAGCGGCAGGTAATGGCCAGGTACAATGTCTCAAGTACCTGATCGATCACGGAGCTGATGGTTAGTGATTGTCCACTATGGTCTTTGACTACGATTATGGTAGTTGGTTTTTTCAACACTTTTGTATTTTGCTACAGTTGCTAACACTTATGTGCCTTGGTTACAGTTGCTAACACTTATGTGCCTTGGTTACAGTTGCTAACACTTATGTGCCTTGGTTACAGTTGCTAACACTTATGTGCCTTGGTTACAGTTGCTAACACGTATGAGCCTTGGTTACAGTTGCTAACACGTATGAGCCTCGGTTACAGTTGCTAACACGTATGTGCCTTGGTTACAGTTGCTAACACTTATGTGCCTTGGTTACAGTTGCTAACACTTATGTGCCTTGGTTACAGTTGCTAACACTTATGTGCCTTGGTTACAGTTGCTAACACTTATGTGCCTTGGTTACAGTTGCTAACACTTATGTGCCTTGGTTACAGTTGCTAACACTTATGTGCCTTGGCAAGAGTACATGAAAACCAGAGTGTGCAGCTCGGATGGGTGGCTGTCACGGCGGAATTCCGTGATTACATCATTTTAGTGATGTAGTTCGTACAAGCAGGATTCAAGCAGGTCTCTTTCTGCACAACTGCAGCTCAGTTGTACGCACTACGCCATTTCCCGCCTCAGATCTGGGCCAAATATGATGTAATCACGGAATTTCGCCGTGACAGACACCCATAGCAGAAAAGGCCCCAAGCTGCACACTCTGGTTTTCATGTACTCTTGGCCTTGGTTACAGTTGCTCACACTTATGTGCCTTGGTTACAGTTGCTAACACTTATGTGCCTTGGTTACAGTTGCTAACATGTAACACAGTTCCTTTACTCTAGACACCCCATGAAAAAGGCCTTTTTCTTTTTCTCCTCTCTCTCTCCTCTCAAAGTGACATTGTTGAACGCGGCTGGTGAATCCGGCAAGGACATAGCACAGCGTTACGCACACTTGGCATGCGTGGCACTACTCGGTGGGGATGCTAATGATGAAGCCGATGCCATGAGTCCAGCTGTCTATCACGAGGAAGCAAGAGGTGAGTACTCGACATTAGACACCTCTAGACGAGCATTTGAAACCAGCAACCCGTAGCACCGCGATCCGGTGCCTCAGATCTGTCACCACTGTGCTACAAGTATACCGTATATGGTAGCTGCTGAACAATATACTGTACAGTAAAACTTGTCAAGGCAACCACTCTGATAAGGCAACCACTCTGATAAGGCAACCACTCTGATAAGGCAACCGCCTGCCTCAGAGGACCACTACAACCAGGATCAAGGGGTGTTATTTCCAGTCAAATGACCCTGAGTAAGGCGACCACCTGTACACGGAGGCCACATTTGTCAGGTCCCTTGAGCGGTCGGCTTAGACAGGTTTCACTGTACATTCTAGTTTGCAGCATTGCTTCACTGCACGTAAAGTGCGCACCCATTGGCCCGTAACCTTGTTTGTTGGAATGCTGCTGCTGCTGCCTGTGTGTACAGAGCGGAGTCGTCTTAAGGTTCACGAGCTACAGCGATTGCTTGAGCTGGCCAAGGTCGACTTTGAGCAAGTTGGCGGTGATCGCATGGACGTGGAAGACGACGCTGACGAGAAAAAAGCTGCCAATAACAAGTGAGCGTGGTGTTGACTTTGCCTGATTGAGTGCTCATGGAATGTGGTGAAATAATTATTTTAAAGGTCATCCTAACGAAAACATCAAGCCTGTCTGAAGGACCCGATTAGACCTGTCCCTCCAGGAACTTGCGATTCCGCGGCCACGTTGCTTTCCGCGATTTCAACGAAAGTCCGCGATATTCGAAAAATCATCCGCGTTGTAGAAAACTGTCCTTGATACGAGAGCTCGTACTTGAAAAGCACCAGCGATATTCAAGTCTTTCGTCGATGTCGTTTAGTTCTTCAAGCTTGTCAGTAGCTTACTTGTGAGATCGACACCGGAATGGAGAAGTTTCTGGGCAAACCAACGGCTGAAAAGTCAAAAAATAAGGCTCGGTATATTTCTGCTAAGGAACAGCGAGCACTTACACTGTTGTCCAAAACCAAGAAGTTGTATACGACTCACTGTCCAAAACACATGTTCTGTTTTGTCATGCATGATTTATGCTGTACAACTCGTACGTGTACCAAAATCGGTCGCAATTTCCGCAATTGTGCCACAATATTCGCGCAATTTTTGACACAGTCCGCATTATTCCACGTAAGTTGTGGCATTTTACCTCGCAACGTTTTCCGCGATGTTTCCGAAATTTCTCCTCAAGTTTCTGGAGGGACAGTTAGACTAGGTACAAACAAAGAAGAAAGGCAGCTCTTGTAGCTGCTAGCATGCTGCACATCGTAATACATGTGCAAGTACTGTAATTAGACATGAAAAATTGGCCTGAAAAATCAACCTTCGTATCATGATTTCTTTCACATGCTTTCTTTTGCATTCCTTGCCCCCAGTGTAGTTGTGTACATGCATTCGATGTTCACACTCAGAACAGCTGTGTGCATGTTGTGTACAGTCGTCCCTCTCGAATCCGGCATGCATGGCATTGCATAAACCAGCACAATTTTCATTAGCCAAAATGTCCTCGTCATGCACATTGCAACAGTAGATCAGATTTGTTAATCCAGCACCCTCCCTAATCCAGCAGAATTTCTTTAGCACAAATGGTGCCGGATTATAAAGGGACCACTGTGTAAGTCCAGTTTGTTCGCCTGGCATGCTACATGTGCTGCTGCATGCACAGGATCCAAGAACTACAGGAGTCGCTGGAGTACGAGCGGGTGCGGCGCGAGCAGCTCGAGAGCGACTTGGACGCAGCGCGTGCCGAAATCAGTTACCTGAAGCAGGGCTCACTAAACAGACTGGCGGTGGGAGCAGCAACACAACAGAAACAACAGGTCAGTGGAAAATCTCGCCGTGTACTTTGTTTGTTTTCGCTGAAGAGCCATGACGCTTTAAAATGTACTCTGTAGGGGTGAGAGAGAGAGATAGCGAGTAGGGAATATAGTGGCACACACAACGTGGCTATACTCCAGCTAAGTACCAGCAGTCTATTGGTAGCAATGAAGCGACAATTGGGCCCACTTCCTTTGGAAAGATAACTGGAAAGATTAAAAGGGGGGGGGGGGGGGGCAGATATGTAGGAGAGCGAGACACAGCTCGGCAGTCACAAGGATCAGTCAAGAGGGGGTTAGACCACAAAACGGTAAAAACACGAGAAACTAACAATAGCGGACAGTAGTGGACAACTAGACAATTAGATGTACATGTGGACAATAGTGGACAATTCGATGGGATGAAAACATTCTAAAACTGCTACGCGCGTTCTGTCCCACAGGGAGCAAGTACAGCAGTAGCAGCAGCAACTGTATCATCAGATAAAGACCAGCTGACGGTGAAAGGCAGGCGCAAAACGCAGAAGAGCAGCTCCACGGGAAAGGCAGCCTCCAGCAGCACAGCCAAGCTAGGCGTGTTCATTCGACAACGACCGCTAAACGGACAGCGCTAAAATTAATAGCAAACTAGTTCTGTTTGGAACCCTACACAGCTATCAGATGTTCTCTGATCTTTATTATGTTTTGTCTGTTCTAGGACCAACGCACATATACCACCACACACTCGCACGCACACACACACACACACACTCTACAAAGCTTGATGATTATCAGTGCTTGAAAAATATGAATTGTTGATTACATGAGACTGCGATTGTCATCTGCTTTGTTTATGAACATGTATGACTGACATGGACCACCACTCTTGTCTTCAAGCATTCTGTTGTACCAGATGGGCATCCAGAGTAGGTTGATTGCGGACGGGATCTTTCATGCGCAAAATACGCACATGGTCCTTATTGGACCAGTTCCTAAACAAGAGAAAAGAAAAGAAAATACCGAACACGTCCTCCAGGCCCACAAATCGCAGGGTAACTGTGTAATTGTTGTGTGTGTTTGTTGTGTGTGTTGTGTGTGCGTGTTTGTGTGAAAATCACAGTGATGCTCTACCCCTCTCCTCCCTGCACTCTTCAGCCGCCTGTTGCTACTACCACCGGTAGCCAGTACACATACCGTAAAGTCGCAGATAAAAGCCGGGTTTGCATACAAGCACATCGCAGATAGAAAGCCTGAAAATCAAACGGGTCAAATGCATATAAGCCTGTCGCGCGTAGAAGCCTGGCTTCTACGCGAGCGCGGATCAGGTAGGTCAAGAGTGCATGCGCTATGTACGGTGCATACATAGTAAAACTGCCGCCATACTGGTAGTCAGTGGTAGATCTACGCGTGTCTCGTGCATACAAGCCTGGCAAAAATATCAGTGGTGCATATTAGCATGGTTTGCATACAAGCCTGATGCAGAAAGCGGCTTATATGCGTATAAGCCCGGCTTTTATCCGCGACTTTATGGTAACAGAAATTTGAAGAAAATCACAGTGATGCAAAATAACTTACGACAAGTCCTGCGGAGTTAGCAGTATGAACTGCCTCTTGCGATTGGTGCTGGCAGCGCTTAGCAACATGTCCATAGCAATACGCCGGTTGACTAGATCCTGGACAGTTCAAAAATCAACAGCACAGCCGCAATGACAATCCCCTCAGACAATGGTTCGTGTTTCTAGCGTTAAAAAAAAAGCCGATCCACATACTAGTAGTTTGCATCATGTCCTACACCCGTACCAGCAGAGTGTCTGGTGAAAGATTGACATTCTGGTCAGCATAACCAGCACGGTGTAACGCTATACAGTGACATGGTGAGAGTGGACTCCGCTCCAGTTACTGCAGCTCTGCGCCATCTACTCTACGATCAAAAGCAGCTGGAGATAATCATGCATGCCTTGCGAAAACACCACAAAGTAGCGCAAGAGCGCTCAGCCAGCTGGACCCCTTCCTGGTTGTGGTTTGGAGGTGGGGCGAGGGAGCTAGTCCCGACTGTAGCGTTACACCATACGGCACGTACTGTAGAGGACATTGAAATCCGTTGAGAAGTCATGGGACTACGGGGCGCTGGACTTGCAGCCACGAGCACTGCTCGTCCATTTTTACAGTGTGGACGTGAATTACAGTGCATGTACAAAAAACACCGCAAAGTAGCGCAAGAGCGCTCAGCCAGCTGGACCCCTTCCTGGTTGTGGTTTGGAGGTGGGGCGAGGGAGCTAGTCCCGACTGTAGCGTTACACCATACGGCACGTACTGTAGAGGACATTGAAATCCGTTGAGAAGTCATGGGACTACGGGGCGCTGGCCTTGCAGCCACGAGCACTGCTTGTCCATTTTTACAGTGTGGACGTGAATTACAGTGCATGTACGCGCTAAGGCAGTAAGGGCGCTGACCCCGGTCATCCCATCGGATTTCAATGTCCACAACAGTACATTGCACACACAGTTACAGTCACTCCATGCTGGCTACAGTCACTCCATGCTGGCTACAGTCACTCCATGCTGGCTACAGTCACTCCATGCTGGCTACAGTCACTCCATGCTGGCTTTGCCTCCGAGCGGTAGCAAGCTGCACATAACAGTGGGCCGGTGCAAGGCACTACAGTTCCATTCACATTTTCTCACACTGTACATGTACTACCTCGGCAGTCCTGGGCCCTTTCCCTGCCTGTACATCAAGGTGGGGTCTACCTCAGTAACCCTGTACCCTTTCCCTGCCTGTACATCAAGGTGGGGAGAGATCGAGAGAGAGAGAGAGAGAGAGAGAGAGAGAGAGAGATAGAGAGAGAGACCGGGTGCTCTGGCGGTATTCTACAGTAATACATCATTGACTCACCATGAACACATCAAACTCATCCAAGCAACGGAATGGTGTCTCCATCACGTCCCACAGTGCAAGGATGAAGGCTACCATCGAGAATGACCGCTCGCCACCGGACAGAGTCTTTGTGTCTTTAGTCAATTTTGCATCATCCACAACTTTCACCTGAAGCGAGCATGGCAGAGCAAATGCAACACTTGTTGGTCATGGGTTCCAGCTCCATAGCTGGAGACATGATAATAATGCTGAAGGCCAATAGGCAATAGCACCTCAGAGCAACAACTCACGGCATCATCCGGTAAGTAATCAGAGCAACCGGGGCAATGGTACGGCAATAGAGGTACAAGTACTACAGTCGTCGCCAAAAGAATCCGCTCAATGCTATGCTAGCTGTAGGGTACATGGGCCGCATGCAATACCACTACATGTAGTGCACTGCACATGCAATGGCTATGTCCCTGCATACAATATCACTGCATGTAGTGCACTGCACATGCAATGGCTACGTCCCTGAATACAATACCACTGCATGTAGTGCACTGCACATGCAATGGCTATGTCCCTGCATGCATGCAATACCACTGCATGTAGTGCACTGCACATGCAATGGCTATGTCCCTGAATACAATACCACTACATGTAGTGCACTGCACATGCAATGGCTATGTCCCTGCATGCACTCAGTGCTGTGCTGATACAGACTAAAATGCAAGCTACTAAGCCACCACGCAGCACAGCCATAAATGCGTACGATCACTGTTTATTGTAATATGTATCCATGGTATCGGTAGTGGCCAGATTTTTCGGCGGCGCTCGTAGAACCTGAGCCTATACTCCCCTCCTCCGCATAGTCTCAGAGTGATGAGCATCAGCACTATCATGCACGAGTACACGCATAAGCAGGGTCGGTATCATTCATGTCTCCACTCTCATCAACTTACATGCATGTCCAGAGTCTCGCTTTCGTGGTTGAATTCAAACTTCCCCTGGTAACCACGGCGACTCATGAACATGAAAAAGTAGACTTTCAAGCGCGTCTCCAGCTTATCTCGGATCTGCTTGAAGGCAGCCTGCCGCTTGATCATGGCGTCTCCAAGTTTCTACACATGAACACCATGAGAAAAACACCACTACATTGACGCATACGTGCAGTTGAAAACAAAGACAAAGGAACAGTTACACCGAACAACAACTTGAGCGGGAGGATGTGAAATCAGTGGCACTCAGAACGTCAAAGCTGTATTCAACCAAATTTAGACCGACTCAGAATCTCAATTCACATAAGTCGGCATACGAGGTCGCCAGGAAACAACTTCAAATTATCCGAACAAGCACCCACAATACAATACGTATGTCAATATCTCGGACACAGAAACTGGTTCCGTGCACTCTGCACTGCCCAGTACAGTGTGCCGTGTGAGCTTTGGATTACAGCTTTGAAAAATTTGGAACTAACGGCAGGACTGTACACACGTTCATTATGTATATGAACGTGGACATCACTACACTTCTAGCTGGGGGCAAGTGGGCAGACCAGTCTAGTCTTCACTTGCAGACAACTTTATGTGCGAGTCATGTGGACTGAAATCAATTCTAACCACACAGCGTTCAATTCAGGATTGCACTTGCAATTTCATGATTGCAGCTCAACCAAGAAACAAGCTCCACTACAATGCAGTCAATCAACTGGCACTAAACCAGATCTGCAGAATTTCCCCCTTTTTTATTTGGCAAAAAAACACGCACGTGCCTTGCTGGCAATAATCAACCAAGACCAGCAGCTCTGCATATGCATGCATAACACAATGACGGTGTAAGTGAGTGCTAACAGCAAAACAAGGAAAACAGGAGCCTGCTGCTGCTGCTGCTGCTACTGCTGCTGACGGTGCAAAACTATGCCTGTACCTGGCCAAGCTGATCCAGGATCTTGAGCTCCTGCCGCAGCTTGGTGAAGCGTTGCGACACCTCATGGTATTCGGCCGTGATCTCCTCACGGTTACCTTGGCTACATGATACATTGAGAAACAGGAACAGCACAAGCAGCAGGGACACTTGCTGATTAAAGGAAGGAGGATTGAGTGGCCAAACATGAACTAATACAAGACCCAATCGTTTCCGCAGCTCTTTCTTCTACCTTTCAGTGCGTCAAGGAATAGAATAGAGAAAGTCGCTGAAATCAGAAAGCAGCATGGCCGATTTCAGTGATGATACATGTACATCAGAATAGTGTTAATGTTAATGGTGTAACTCAGAAACTACTCAAGTCTATTTGAAGGCAGTGAATTACAAGAGTAACAAATACATGGCATTGTACACAAGCACTGCACCCACCTCTTGTCCTTCTCTCTCAGAGCCTTGTCCATTTGGCGAAGCTCACTCTCCAAGTGTTTCACGGAACGACGAGACGTGGAGCGCTCTGGATAGGCCGCTTGCACCTTCCCCTCGGTGTCCTGCAACGGAAAAACAGACAGTGTATACCGGTATGTGTTTTCATCTGTGTGTGTGTGTGTGTGTGTGTGTGTGTGTGTGTGTGTGTGTGTTTTGCGTGTGCTATAGTCACGCAAAACATCATGGACTCACAACATCTACGTTGCCTGGTTAGATTTCCACCTTTCCACTGCAATTCTCTACGACTAATATCGTGTATGGGTGATTTTGCAATGGGCACGTACAATGGTGGGTACACACAGCGTGGCAAGTGTACATCAACCAATAGTTATGTACACATGCACTGGGGACTGCATGTACAGTACTGCCGGGCGCCGAAGAACGGCCAGGCTAGAACTTCATCAAGCACAGCATACCAATGTATACACGGTGACTGAACTGCGCATAGAATGTAGTACATGAAGATAAGAACGGTCTAGGCTAGGAGGCTAGGAGGCTGATCCCCCCCCCCCCCCCCCAGTTCTTTGGTGACCGACAGTAGTGTAGTAGCACACTAAGTACAGTGTGTATACAAGTACCCATGGCCTAGCGGACAGTTGTGGGTCCAGGTATTTCAAAACTAATAGTAGTGTAACAGCACTCACCGCTATAAGTTTCTCTTGGGTTTGAATCCGGCGCTGCAGGTCCTCAATCTCCTTCTGCTTCTGCGCAAAGCTATTCGAATAGTGGTCCTTGTGCTGCCTAGTTTTCACCAGGTCTCGCTCCACCTCCCCAATTTCATCCTGAACACGTACGAGTTCAAACGCGTGCACGCACATACACACACACACACACACACACACACCACGCATGCACACACGCACGCACACACGCCACGCATGCACTCGCGTACAATGCAGACAGACACTTGACAAATTATAGTCCATGATAAAACTACAGATGCACTATTACCAAGATAATTCATTTTTAATGCACTTCTACACAGCCCCAGGCGATCCACCGAGCGCGAGCAGGCATTAATCAAGCTGGGTTTGTTGGCGGTGAAATTGGTAGTTTCGGTTCGGAGATTGCCACTTCAGGATTTCTCCCTCTACCCATTTATTGGAGGACAGGTTGTGCTGGGTGATCAGCAAATGTTTGAGCGCTCTGTGGGAGATGATTAAGCGTGGAAAGTCAATGGCAGTGAAGTGATCGATTCAGTCGCAGTGGTCGCAGCGGTGGCAAAGTTTGCGCGATGCTCAGGTGACCGGGGAACATACATACAGCAGGTCAAAAGAAATTGCATTACTACTATTTACTAGGGGTGAAAGCTGGCACTGAGATCCCGAGTTCGAGTACTCTGATTTTCTCTGATCGAATGTTCGAGTATTCTTCATCTCCTAAAATTTGCATACCAAGGCAAGGGCCTTAAACAGCACATGATACAACCCTGATTGAACTGATTGGCAGTCATTTTCTCTTGTATAGTGATTTGGGGATCATTTGGGCTCTGTCTACGCGTATACAAATGTTCACCACACAGTCTGCACATCAATATCTTCAGACTGCTGCCCTAAAACTGCAGATTTCTGTGGTAAATGCATTTATAATGTATGAACGAGTACTCTGATTTATTCCGAGTACGATATTTTTGAAAAAACCGAGCAAGTACTCGAATATTCAGTATATTTGTATCACCCCTACTATTTACTAGCATATTCCAAACTGCTAAAAGACACATAGATTGACGTAAGACTTGCTCATCAAGACGATAGACCAAGGCCAGTCACGTACACTGAAAGGAAGTGCAGTATCGTCAAGACTATGTCTTACCTTGAGGGCCTTGCCACGTCGGCCAATCTCGTCGTGCTGCAACGTGACCTCATGCTGTCTTTCCTGCTGTTCGCGGAGCAGCGGCAGAATGTGCGCAACCTGCTCTTCGTGCTCCTGCAGGTCGGTGTGCAGCTCGTCCAGGCGCAGGTCCATTGTGCGAATGTCCTCCTCCAGTGTGGCGATGTCCAGCGGACGAGACTCCTCTTCCTCCACGCTGGCCAGCTCGGCTATGTCCGCCTGCAGGCGATTCTGCTTGTCCTGGTCGCGGCTCAGCTTGCCGCGCGAGCTGCGCAGCTCGCGGTTGGCGTCGTTGATGTGCTGCTCCAGCTCGTCTCTCTCCTGCGAGAGCTTTGTGAGCATGGTGCTGCACTGACGCAGCTCGTTCTCGACGTGAGCAATCTCGCCGTCCACGTTCTGCTGCAGGCACATGACGTTGCGCGCGCGATTGGAGATGTAGCGCTTGTCAGGGTACGCCACATCGCCGGCGCCCGTGTACACCGAGTAGCAGCGCTGCGGCGGTGGACGTGACCAGATGAACGTACGCGCCTCCTGGGCGTCGTGCACCAGAACATGAGATTCAACGTTGCGCTGAGGGAAAAAAATGCCACAGCATGCACACACACGCATATGCGAACATACACATACGAGTGCACGCACACACACACAGGACCATGTCAATAGCATTAGAAGCCGGATGCCAAACGAGAGAGCTTGGAAGCTCAGGGCCCTGCGCTATGCTTTGTTGCCTAGCTCATCGTGCATGTTGTTAGAACTGATGGAAATGCTTTTTCCTTTGATTAGCTAAATCATTGTTTTGCAAAAACGTTTCAATGAGATACTGAAGTACAAGTAACGTCTTCTGCATAGCTATGGGACCGGCGCTGACTCTGCCGATGACGGGCGTTCTGGAGTCGACGGGATGTCTGTCCTGACGTTTCCTGGGACCGGCGCTGACTCTGCCGATCACGGGCGTTCTTCTTCTTCTTCTTCTTCTTATTATTATACTGACGGCAACTAACATCCATTCTGATTGCATTTACTCGTCTCCCTACTTCGTATTTCTTTCCAGAAAATCTCCCCATACAGCAGGGAGTCGTTTACATAATATGACTCCCTGCTATACATCTACATGACTGTATATACGTTATAATTATTATGCTATCGGCCTACATGCGATTTCCGGGCTGGTCGACAGGCGGCCCAGCCAGCCTGCTAGTGGGATCTCGGCCTCGCACACAAATCCACACAAAATTTAATGTTACTGCACTGAATGCATTCCCCCCATACACTTCGCATATATACTCATTCTCTTGATGGTACCGTACTCTTGATGATACGGGACAGGTACGGGATAGCGCCAGGCATGTCGATGGCACAAACAAACAAAAATATTGTGGCCAGCTGTCTTTGCTGGTACGGTACAGTACGGGATAGATACAAAATAGCGCCAGGCGTGACACAAACAAACAAACACACAAACAAACACCAAATTAAAGCTGTGTGGACCCTGGCTAGCGCCAGACGTTACTGAAGTAACGTCTTCTGCATAGCTACGGGAATAAAACAAAGTATGTGTGTGGTTCAGAAGTGAGGATGGGGCAGGGTACGTGTGTGCGTGCGTGTGTGTGTGTGTGTGTGAGAGAGAGAGAGAGAGAGAGAGAGAGAGACAGAGAGGGAGAGAGAGAGCACAGGAAACAAGACAGGTGTTTTTTTGAAGGATGTTATCTATTCAATGTTGAGGAATACGCGTGTAATGTGTTGCAGCCGGTGGGGTACTAGTAATTAGCCCTCGGCCTGAGGGTGTGAAAAGAAAAGAAAAGGAAGAGTTCATTTCATTGTCTAGGAGACGTAAGACGTAATATCGTCGACAGCCTTTCCTCTCACCTGATCCACCAGTGCATTGAACACCACCGGATTGTCAATGTCAAGGACATCCATCACAGTCGGGTGATTCGTGTGTGCTTTCTGCAATGCACCACAGATACGCAACAGACACAGCCTCAAATGCACGCAGCAGCAAAAACACAAATCAGTACAAGTGTACGCAAACTACTGCAAACATACATGCACGCTGAGCAGCCCATTGTGCAGTACTGTAGATTGTACTACTAGCAACCCCCTACACAGCGGTGAGCTGGGCATGGCTGTGTTGAACAGTGCAGTCCGACCTGGGCATGGCTGTGTACTTATAGGGGTGTTGAACAGTGCAGTCCGACCTGGGCATGGCTGTGTACTTATAGGGGTGTTGAACAGTGCAGTCCGACCTGGGCATGGCTGTGTACTTATAGGGGTGTTGAACAGTGCAGTCCGACCTGGGCATGGCTGTGTACTTATAGGGGTGTTGAACAGTGCAGTCCGACCTGGGCATGGCTGTGTACTTATAGGGGTGTTGAACAGTGCAGTCCGACCTGGGCATGGCTGTGTACTTATAGGGGTGTTGAACAGTGCAGTCCGACCTGGGCATGGCTGTGTACTTATAGGGGTGTTGAACAGTGCAGTCCGGAACCCTAGCAACCTAGTACCCACCACAATCATGCAGTACTGTAAAACATGTTAATTTCGGTGATTTCGGTAGAGAAAACAGGCACGTAAATTTAAATTACACCTAAAAGGCACTAGAGTATGCACTGTATGTGATGGGAAAGCTGGTCACCTAATTCTACATTACACCTGAAACCTGGCAGGTCCCTGGCACCTAAATTTCAATGCACCTAAATTATAATGTTTTACAGTACTCATACTTGACAGGTTTGACAATGTGCAACGCGCTTATACAGCACATTATAACATGATCACAGTGCATTTGAAACTGATCCCTAGACGTTTCATCTCTCAAATGATTTCGACAGGAGCTTCACCCTGCCATGCACAAGCTCTTCCAGCAAACATTCTTACAAGCAGGTTTGATGCTTGGCAAGTTGGCATACAGGATCCTTATTGCAAAAGTACAGAGTCACACACGCTAGCAGAGCGTTTCTCTTTGAACAAAGCCAATTATTAGTATGTACACCCCCGAGTGTAAATATTTCTGTAATAGCATTCAAAGCACAGAGAATCCTTCTAGCGTACTTACATTTCTTGTAACATCGTGCCGAGAACCCTGAAACACATGCAAAAATAGAAACCGATAGTCCGATACACATGCATATTCAGAAATTTTCACACACAAGTACCCTTTTCTGAAACAAAAAATTGGATATACCTGTAAGCTGTAATCGATACACACCGTGCCTACACATACATTCATATACAGTTGTTGTCATGCAAATACACGTGTGTGTGTGGGGGGGGGGGCACATATGACTGCGTGTGCGTGTGTGTGGGCACATATGACTGCGTGTGCGTGCGTGTGTGTGCGCATGCATGCACACATATGACTGTCTGTATGTACCGGTATGTCTACATGTGTGCATGTGCACTATGTCCAGTCCAGGAAACGAATACTGCACACTGCACGGTGTACTCTGCGTAAACCCACCAGGAACCGGGTGATAATGATGGTTGGCGGCCGCTCCATTCTCGCATCTCGGATAAGCTGCTGCACGACCCGCTTGTCTTCGCCGTTATCCACCAGGAAGCCACTGAGAATGCCACGGCTAACGCATGCCTCCACGGCCAGGGCCCACTTCTCATCATGCAGGTTAAGATGCAGACCTATAGAACATACAGGCACGGCCAAACCAGAAGGGCAGCTGCAGTCAGGAACAACACCCATGCCAGAATGGAGAGGAGTTGACAGGCTACCACTTGGCCTGGAGCTTCACAAGTCCGCCCGCTACCAGCCCCATGCTCCTATAAATTTAAATTCCGCTGAGCACTGGTAGTGGTTGCGGCAGTGCTCGTCAACATGTAGTCTTCTATGGTGTATCCAGAAAAGTAACACAGCCGAGAATCGCAACATACCGAGGGGGCCGATTGGCTTTTTCCTGAACTGGCGCTGCCTGTGTGCCGCGTCAATCCTGTGCACAAGGTCGGCGTAGCCACGGCCAAAGACCTGCACGCGGTTCTGCTTCGACGAGCGCAGCTGCTCAAGCCGTCGCTTGTGCTGATCAACCTGGTTCTGTGCTTCGCTGATGTCACCCCTGTGCATTATAGCATGACCAGGCAGGAAACGAACAAACAATGACATCATCACCCTAAGCATTTCACATGTCACGCCTGTAGGCTGTGAATTATAGTACCGCCTGGCGCCAAAGAACAGGGGGGGGTGTCAGGGTTCTAGCCTAGCCCGTTCTTATTTCAGCGAACACAGCAGTGTCGTTCTTATTCGATGGTACAGTCTTGCATGTACATTTATGCAGAGTTATACGTCTGAGTGTACATTATAGTGTACAGTACGGTTTCCGTTCTTATCTGCGAAAAATCCAGCCTACAGTCCATTTCAAAACTATAGACGCGTAGGGTTTTGAAATATTTCAAATTTGGCTGGAGCTTTTTGAGAATAGTTTTCGGAATATTGCTCAGGTCCGCTCCACAATTACTCTCATATAGTTTCTAAACGATTGGATAACAGACACCCAATTTGGAAAAATTTATGCACAAAGTGATCACAGATTTTATGTGGTATAGATGCTGGCATAACGGTTTTTGCCTAGGTACGCGTCTATAGTTTTGAAATGGACTATAGACCGTTCTTAAAAATTGGTAAAATTATAGGCTGGCCGTTCTTCGGCGCCCGATACAACTGTAGTCTGTAGAGCATGGCCAGACACAACGACATCGTCACACAAAACAACGACATCGTCACACAAAACAACGACATCGTCACACAAAACAACGACATCGTCACACAAAACGTTACACATGCACACTATCAACAAGGAGATACAGTCCATTCATTTAAAACTGACCCACTACGCCGCTGAGAACGTACTCAAGGCCACTGTTGTGACATTACGGTATGACAATTCCAGAATTTCAAAAACAAGGCGACCTGGTGTGAATGTACAATGGAATGTATCATCCAAGTACGAAGAGACCGGTGCGCGAATTTCAAAAACGGAAAGAATAGGAAAGGTGGTTGCTTCCCACACTGGAACTCGCGCCTTCCTGCCAACTTCAGGGCTCACAGGCGGCATGCCAAATCACGAAAAGCGTGGACTGCTCACGTGAACCGCGCGCTCTGCGGCCTCGGCGGCTCAGTTCACGTTCTCACGCGATCGGCGTCTTTTCGACTTTTCCTATTTCCTCTTGCACTTTCCCCTTGCGCTGGCGTTCGCATCGTCCGAGCCTTGGGACTCGGAGTTTTCTATGGCATCAAGGAACCGTACAGCTTATGGATTGTTGGAGCTGGACTATCCGAAATCCCGAAAGAGATGTCAAACTCTGGTCGTTTCGGAACCCCTGCGAAGAAGGTCAAAACACCTAACAGTAGCACACGTACATGTAGTGAGGAGCCTCAGGCTCTCGATGTGCCGCAGCAGCTAAGTCCTCTGATACCGTGCGAAGAGGAAGTCATCCCTGTCGTGTCGGCGTCATGTCCTCAGTCAGATAAACTTGCTGGAAGTATCTCCATTTTTTTTCAGAGGATGCTCAGGTACCAACAAAATCTCAGCCAAACACCGTCGCTAAAGTAAATAGATTGTAAATGGAACAAACATATTTTGTCACTGTGCGTTTCCTTTTTTGCCCACATTCACTAGGAGGCAGCACAAACTGTAAGTGATGACGCTGGATATGGAGAAGAACCCACCATGCACTCAGTCCACCATCAGACATGGCCGACACGAGGTCATCGGCAAATTTGCAGAACGAACTAGAGCAGCTTAAAGCAAGAAATAGTACCATGCAGAATCTGCTTTTATCGGCTGAGCAGAAATTAGAAAGGCAGAAGGAAAGAATCAAGAAACAAGCCAATGCTCTTCGCGGTGCCAGAAGTGCAGCAACGAAACACAAAAGGGAACACCATGAAATAGAGAAGAGAATACCAGACACAGAAGCAATTTGCATACGGTCGAGCTGGATGGACGGTACTACTACGAGCACACACACGCCAGACTTCATGGCACAGGCACGGTTTATGAAAATGGCATGCTTGCTAAGCAACCAGAAGATGGCACAAGCATTGTCACTGTCACATGTATTGCTAACAGGAAAAGAGCCAACGGCAAACTTGGGTACCTCAGTCTCTCCATCGACAATTGCTGATTGGAATGTCTTGCTAGCAGAAGTTGACAAAGCGCTGCTCCAAGAGAAACTGGCCTCTAATGTATACGACACGCACGTCTTTGCTGACGACAGCAACAAACGCGGTGAAGAGCGCCATATGGTTGGCATCCACACGTGGTGCGATAAGTTGCAGAGCCCAATCGCCTATGTCCTGGCCAACACAATCGTAGCATCAGGGAGTGGCCAAGACCAGGCACAGGTCGACCACCACATTGTGCATGATGTTTACAAAGTTAAAGCCATTTCAGCAGTCATCGGGGACAATGCATCAACCCAATCAGGAGCAAAGAAAGGACAAGCTGTTGAGCTTGGCCGCATGTTCGGCAACACCACAGTGTTCGTGGGATGCTATCCCCACATACTGAACATTGCCTTGCGGAATGGCACGAGTGAAGGGCTGGGACAACGCGGAACCATGATGGAGTTCAACCTCTTCCAGCTTCACTACAAGGTCGGTTACATTCACCACCAGAAACCCACCTACTACAAGGCCCTGTACGTTAGTGAGCACATCCTGCCAAGGCACCTCCACTGCCGCAAGAATTCGTACAAACGAGGTGGAGCTACATCCACGCCAGCCTGAAATGGTGGGCGAAGTATGGCACGGCATGTGTGAAGCTGGGAAAGAAGATGCTGGAGAGGTTGCCGGTCAGTGAAACTCACTATTCCATATGGAGCAACATCGTCAAGATGGCAGCCAATGACCGGCTTGCGGCGCAACGGACGATGCTCCTGGAGTTGCTGGATCGCCTGATAATGCCCGGACTGGAGAAGTGTCAGATCGGTGATACCGAGTTGAACTTCAGCTCCGGGTATTTGGCAAGGATGTGGCCAAGGCAAGTCACTGCTGACATCAACATGGCACAGCTGATGCTGGAATACCCGGCCTTTGCACTGCCACTGACGGAGAATTTCAAGGCAGTGCTGAATGATGGTGACCAGGAAATATTCTCCTGCACACACAAGGCAATGTTCACGGCAGTGAAGGATGCGCTCGTGAAGCATGGCTGTCGGTGGCACCATTTCCCTCTCCTGTTCGCTTCTGGAGCAGACACAGAAACACGGCATCTGTTCTGGCGGGCGGTCTTACGTGTGCTCGGAACTCCAATTTCGAACATCCAGACCTTCACACACACGGTGCAATGCCATCTGTAGCGGCATCCCAGACACCGCAGTATGCGATATCACTGTACAGTAATCTGGTTAACGCTGCACTGAAGCTGAAGTCCGTGGAGCATCTTGTTGCGGCCTGCTGCAAGGAGGGAGTCTTGGACCGCCAGCAGTATCTTCTTGGCAGCACAAGCCAACGGTGGTTCCAGGAGTTTGAGCTGTTGGCGCTAGTTGCGGGAGAGGCAGCCGAAATGCAATTGTGGATGCAGCGTTGGCCCGTTCCCGATGCAATGGCAACTGAGATCCGAGCACTGGCGGACTGCAGCTCCGGTACTGCGCCAACAAGCACCTCCGAGCCTCACCTGTGGCAGTGGCACAAGCAGCATGTCTTCGCCCTTCCGGTGAACATGCCATCGCAGAACGCCAGTTTAATGTTGCGGATAACTACGTCCATCCGAACGAGTCCGAAGCGTCGAAGCAGGCCACACATCTGTTTGTAGAGAATGTGCTTCACTCGACAGCAGATCGACTCCAGCTCTACAAGAATCTCTCCGCAGGTGCTTGTACCACAACGCGAGTTTCCAAAGCGTCCATGAAGCACGTCAGAAAGGAAATGCTGGAATACTCAAGCACCATCACAGCAGAGCGTCTTCAGCAAGCCAGAGAGACTTTGAGGAAGACAGTACCCAGCGACCACTCTGGTAGAGCTCTGACAGCACCTGCGACCTACTACAGGAACGCCCTGGAGCGCCACAAGCCTCGACAAGACCACGAGCAGAGAATGGTCGCCCTGGAGAAGAAAGGCAAGTGCCACTCAGTCCACCATGATCCTGGCCGAAAGAAATCTGCACAGGCCAGCGCTGCTGAGAGGAGCTTCCCTGCCTTATCCGAGGAATGACTCCCTGGAAGGTGAGTACAGCGGATCATTTTGTTGTTGTTCTTGTTGTTGCTGTTTTGGTCAAGAAATTTATTTTAGAATTTTTGGTGCTGCTTTTGCACTTTTGGCATTCTGCGCGCCGAGTGGCACTCACTCAAAAATGTCCACTACATCTCATTCTTGGCGGATTTTGATCACCTATGGCTTATTTTTTCAGCGTGGAAATCTCCAGACATTTTCCGATCACTTCTCCGATTGCTGCGCCGAAATCGAAGCGAAAACGACCAGACTTTGGCTAATCCGTGCCGGAAAACTGGAGGGAAAATGGTGAAACGCTGCGGTAGATCACTGAGTTTGGGTTTTTTGAATAAGCACAGCGAATACCAGCTTCGTGGACATCAGGGCCGATGTAGTGGACTGGATCAAAGAGTTGAGAATAGAGGAGAATAGAGGCCTGTGATTGGTCAGTTGTCATTACGCGACATCCGCGCAAAGCCGTGCGCGACTCCATGCTTTTGTATTGGACTGTGAGCCCTGAACTTGGCTTGACACTTGGCTGACTCATAGCTGTCATGCAGAGCACACGAGAAGTCCATGGAACCTTAGACTCGGCAAACGTGCAAGAAAGCACCACTCCCTATTGTGTATTGAGCAAGGAGTGGTGCTTTCTTGCAGGGTTGCATTATCGCCGAAAAAATCGCTACCACTGTTGCGGAAAAATGGGACTAACTTATTGCATCTACTTAGATGTAAAGAAGAGGTTGGTGCGACTTCAGCGATACTTGGGGAATTCAAGTCGGCAGGAATAGCGCAAGCTCCCACGTAGGGAACAACACACAAATACTTGCAAATTAAGAAGTTAGGGTGCCAGTTTCCAATGAATGGACTGTAGCTCAACTTCCAAAAAACATCATAGCTACTAACTCGCTCCACAATACAGAATAGGACCCCAGAATGCAGAATATTTCGATTTCAGATTCAATTGGAGCGAGGGCATCCACTAGTGTAGTCACTATACAGACGGACTAAAAAAAGGAAACAGTCACGCCCGAGAGAGAGAGAGAGAGAGAGAGAGAGAGAGAGAGAGAGAGAGAGAGAGAGAGAGAGAGAGACGAGAGGACTTCACACAGTTGTTACAATGTGCTCACTTCATGTGGTAGCGCTTCTCTTGATGGGTCCTTAGTGCTTGCTCCAGCTGATGGCGAAAGTCATTGGTCGTGCGAAGCCGGTCCTCGGCTTCACGCAGCTCCTGCCGCAGCCGTTCCAGCTTGGCATTGCGCTCTCTAGACTCCGCTTCACGGTCTACCATGGCCCTGTAAAAAAAAAACATTGAAAACAATCCGCCAGTGATAGAACAGTGTCAGAAGAGTTGCCACAACCATATCACCGCCTGGGCATCTTTCACATCGCCTTTCACAAGCCAACAAGACCCCACGCGATCACATTGAAGGAGGTTGTAACTCATAAATCATTACATAATGGCTTGGCATAACGTGCCAGACCCCCCCCCCAGACCAGGCACACTGTGCCACCGCCTTTCCCTAAGCAAACATGTGTGTGCGTGGGCATGCACATACTCATATGGGGCATCCAGCTTGTGTAATCATAAGCATACCGAACTGTTGTAGTTCTGTACAGTCCTGTTCCACGATGCCGAGTTGGTGTCGCATGGACTCAAGGTGTGTATCTGCTCATCAGATAAGTGCACGAACATTAGCAATAACTTCAACTTGAAAGCTGCCTGGGGTTTGAGGGGACATGAATCAAAATGCTGATGCAAGAATCTCAACTGTCTGTTACTTCCTACTTCAGACTAGCGCAGAGGGCTGGTAACTCACAGCTGTCTCAGTTCAGCGATGTGGGCCTTGACCTGGTCACGATCTCCTTCCGTTGTGCGAATCTTACCCTTCACCTGTTGAATCTTGCTCTGTTAAACGAGCCATTGGGCAGAGGAAGAGAGAGAGAGAGAGAGAGAATATTGGCGAAGGATTGCGTGATACGTTACATACATAACTAAATGAAGGTGCTACCGACCAAGCACTTTCTCGGGACCGAGGAGTGACAAGTTGACAACTAAATTCAATCAAGAAGATGCTCTCACAGAGCGGTAGCCATTGCTATACCTGGGCTTCACGCAACACCAGCTTCTGGCTGCGCAGCTCCTGTGCCTTCGTGGCATTGGCAGTAGTGGCGGCCTCAATCTCGCGTCCAATCTCTTTAAAGCTGGCTTGCAACGCCGCTCTATTCTGCTCGGCATTCTTGATGGCAACCTGCATGGCCACACAGGACACCAATAGGCAGACAGTCACTGTGAACCGTGAACACAATGAGAAAGTAACACCTGAGAATAACGCTATTCCACCTGAACTGTTCTGTGAACTTCGAAGGATTCGAAATATTTTATTTCTTTATTTTATTCCAAACAATACATGGCTGGGGTAGCCAATGACCACTTTGCGTGGGATATCTGTTATCTCCAGATTTACCACACTAACTGGTACCTACCCACTCGCTTGCGAACCACACATGGGTCAACAACACGGCTCCTGCCTGATGGTACAAGTCCCAACTCACAGATAACATCGAATTTGACGCCAGCACCAAAACGAATAGCTACACAATCACTACGGCACAGCATGATGCATATTTGTACTGGACCGAGCAGGCTGATTGGCAAGAACAGAAGAATTACGGGTATGATCTTTCATCGGGAGGGGAAAGGCCAAAAAAACACTAAATGGATCTGATGCGAATTTCTTGGCCAGGACACCCAGTGTAACATTGGTAAAGCAAACACGTTGTGCTGCGTAAACTGTAGACCCAAATGTCAGCAATTGCTGAAGACGAACCATGTTGGTAACACTTACTCAGTGAGGCATAACCACTAGGAAGGCTCGTACGCTCACCCACACACGCACACAATGGACAACCACACACACACACAAGCACACACACACACACCCACGCACGTGCATGTACACACATGCCACCAGCAACTACTGGCATGAAAGCCACTTCCCACTCACATCGCAGTCTGCCATCTTCTTCTTGTAGCCTGGCAAGCGCTTCTGCTGGTGCTGGAGACCTGTACGCAGCTCCTCTAGGATCTGCACCAGCACAAAGCCATCATACATAATTACAAGTCATAGTGAGAGTATGTACTCTTTCAATGACTGGCAGAAATCTACAGCAGCTGGTACAATGTACAATGTACAGTGTACAGATCTGATCTGATCCGATCTGATCAACAGGCACTGACACACATGCCTTCCATCATGTCACTAGTGCACCTGCAGCTCTGTCACGAGAACCGGAAATGACCACGGTGTATTGTTGAGAAGAGAATCACTGCGACTACAATCAGTAAGTGTGTGACTTGATAATACCATTGTAAATATAACACCGGCCCTTTTCAATGATGATGGGTGCTGGGAATGGATCTTGAACGTTCATAGACTTCACTTTGCCTTCTTTGATTCCTTTCTTCCCTTACTTCTTCGTTATGGATCTACATTACAATTCTCTCCATTTCTTCCTTGTCTCTAGTCACTGTTGCGAGGTTTTCAATAAAATGGGATTGAGTACTGATACTACAATCAAGCATTGAAAGCATGAGAACAGTTCTGTAGCTGTTTGCCACACTATCATATCAGACCAGCTGACTTGCAGACCCCTGGCAAGACAATGACGGCAGTGTGACACTGCTTTGCCTGCAACACTTACCGATTCTAAGTCTTTGACTTGGGCCCACGCAATATCGCACTCCAGGGAAGCTTTCTTCTGCTCCAACTTGTCGAGTCGCTCCAGATCCTTGAAGCGCTGTTCCTTGATCATCACATCACGCTCAAGGGATGGCATACTCTACAGTATGTAACATTAACAGGGAGAGTAGGCAACAAACAACAGAAAAAGATGCTTAAAAGCATGCTTATCATTGAGCGCAGTTACCCGCACATACACACACGTACGCGCGCGCGCGCGCGCGCACACACACTCACACTCCTACCCATCACTGAAGGGATGATAGCAAACAAGCTATGTTAGACCTAGAAACCACTCTTTACATGCATGGCATGCAACTGCATGATTGTACTGTGTGAACGCATACCAGTACTTGTTCTTCTAAGTGGCTTGTACGACGATTTCCACGAGAGCGTTTGTAGCAGGTGTGAATGCAGCCAATAGGATTGAGCCTAATAGACTGACCCGGCGGAACTATTGACGTATGTGTACATGACCATTGTACTTACGGCTTTTTTCATCTTCATCTGCTGAGCAAGATCATCCTTGTACTCGAGGATCTCACGATAGTTCCGACACATCAGATCCAGCTGTGTGGCCTGCATGAAGAACTGCAGTGAAACCCACGCGGTGGACACAGGGAAAAGGCAGTTAGCTCAGCAGGACAGTAAGGACTTAACGTTGTCACCATCTCCACATGCCAACAGTGGCAGGCCGTGACTGAAGATCAGTGCAGACACAGTAACAGAGTGTGATCAGCGGCTTGCCCGTCGCTGCTCAGTGCTGTCTGTTCTGTACAGCACAGTGTTTCACGTCTCCAAACGGCTATTGCCACCAGCAATACGCCATGTGCGCGGAAACACTGGTGTTTTCTTGTTGCATGTAGCCTTCTATGCACAGTGCATGGCAACTCTGATCAGCGGGCAAGACTCAAAATCCCACTACAGTGAGAGAGAGAGAGAGAGAGAGAGAGAGAGAGAGAGAGAGAGAGAGAGAGAGTGTGTGTGTGTGTGTGTGTGTGCGTGTGAGTGTGTGAGTGTGTGTGTGTGTGTGTGTGTGTGTGTGTGTGTGTGTGTGTGTGGAGTGTGTGCGTGTGTGCGTGAGTGTGTGTGTGTGCGTGTGTGTGCGTGTGTGTGTGTGTGTGTGTGCGTGTGTGTGTGTATGGGTATGCGTGTGTGTATGGCTAGATGACAGTGCAAGGGTTTGCCACCATGATCACCTACCTTATACTTATCCTTTGGAGACGTTGAATGCATGAAGCTACGGCTCATATCCTGTTGTAGTACGCAGACCGGATTGTCGACCTGTTCAGGAAACATAAACATACACGCACACACACACACACACACACACACTCACACACACACACACACACACACACACACACACACACACACACACACACACACACACACACACACACACACACACACACACACACACACACACAGGTAGATGCAGACAGAGCGACAAACACAGAGACACACGCACAAGCAGCACCAAGAACAGGTAAACGTACTTAATGTTGCAACGTCACAGGTGCCCATGACCAGTCACTTTGTGCCACCAGCCGTGTACTCTTATTATCATGGCAGAATGTAAGGCGATCTATTTCGATTTTATAGACTTACCTGGATGTTGAAGTGGTCCAAGATGCGAATAAGGTCATCCTTGGTGTTAGAGATGGCTTTCTCTGCATCACAATCATTCACAAGGCAGGAAGATAGAAATTATGAGCAGAGGAGAAGAAAAGCACCCAGCAACACCCACACCCACGCAACAACGACGACAGCAACAGCCACCGCCACCACCACCACCACCACCAACAACAACAACAACCATAGCGGAATGGCCAATCTATCGCTACAGTACTATCCATGGGCAGTTTTGCCAGGCTTCTGTGCTACAGGCATACTCATAATACAAGTGGTCTCGATCTCAAGCGCACAAACAGCGAATGCCACTTGCACATGCACACACCTGCTTTTGTTGTAAACATCGTGGATAAATATGTATAAAACAACACAGAGATAAAGACAAGGTTTACCATTGCTTCCTTTGATCTTGTAACCACCGGTGCCATCAATGCCGATCCTGCGCTCAACAATAATCGAGTCACCGTACTCTTCAGACAGGTATGCATCATCTCCATGGTTTTTGATCTTGATGGTGATATTCGCAGAGCTAAGCAGCAAGATACCAGTACGCACAAGCGTGCACACACGCACACACATGCAAACACACATGCAAACACACATACAAACTTACACACACACACACACACACACACACACACAGCGTGCGCATACACACACGCACACACACACGTGCGCGCGTGCGCATACACACGCACACACACACACACACACACACACGCACACACACACACATGCACATACAGACTGGTCAGAGTACAGGAATATATGCATAGAATTTGAATAATGCAGTAATCGTACCACACCGTCCTGAAAGAACTTTTTAAACAGGAGCACAGTAGCTGCAAGTTCCCACGCGCACACACACAAACACACGGGTGTTATCGCACTCCCTGGTGTCTACTGTGACTTACTTGCAGCCCTCTTTGATAAAGTTTTTCAGAGCACTACCACGCTTGGTCGCAGAGGCAGCACCGCCAAGACCCACAACAATGGCTACCAATATGGCAGACTTTCCACCTGGGAAGACACAAGATTGGAAAACACTGCATGGTCACAGCAAGGAAACAACAAGATTATAACACCCTGATTGGACAAATCCACCAACTAAACACCTAGGGCCTGGACTTAGCTCCTAAACACTGGAAGAAGAAAACCAAACAAATAGTAACTAAATAGTTCTCAGCTATCAACCAACGATTACCTCAGGTGAATACACCCATCTGCACGTATCCGGCAAATACCCACCTACCATCAAAATAACATGGCCTTTACAGACTCGACAAGGCTAACATACCACCATACCACTATACCACCATGCAAGCATTCAAAAAACACATAATCATGCAACTGGGCTACTGTAAAATCGGGAATTTTCGGTGGTGTATTTTTCGGTATTTCCCAAAATCAACGGTTCGGTAGCGCGAAAATTTCGGTAAACCAGTTTTCCGTACTGCAGTCGGCATGCATGTACGTATATTTTCGGTGTGTTTTATTTTAGGTAAAAATCGTCGGCACCGAAAGTTACCAAAAATAAAACACCACCGAAAATTTCTGCTTTTACAGTACAACCCTGCAAACAGCATGCTGAGAACAGGAACACACACACTAGTCTATGAGCCCTTGACCCATGCTCTCTCTGTTTGTAATGTTTACACAGTATGTGCAGCATGTGCAGCATGGCAGAAACAGGTGACCGGACATTCGACACCAGCAACGGCCGGCCAGAGTGCTTACTTCCATTCTTGCCGTTGAGGATGGTCGCATTGGGTCCAAGCACAACGTCCAGGTTGGAGTGGCACATAAAGTTCTTCAGTGAGATCTTCTCAATAATACCGCACTCAGCCGGTCTCTGTTAACAAAACATTAGCAGTGGCGATCAGACATTGACATATTCAAGAAACAGCTCCAGATATCGGGATGCAAACCACAATACCCGCGTACAAAGAGGATTTCGACAAGACATGTCCAAAGCCACGATAATCTGGAGGCCTGCATTTTGTTGTTGTTGTTGTCTATTTTTTAAACAGCATGTGTGCGTGCGTACATGCAAATGGGGAGGCGAATCATGATAGAGTCCATACTCCATAATCTCCAGAGTAGGCAACGCTGCGCGTTGGATCTGCAAGGTGCTGCCCACATTTCGTGGGCATGAACTAAGGCAATCGGCTGGGCCGTTGAGTTATTGTTAAGCTGCTACGGCGTCCAGCTCCCAAACGCATTTTTTCTCGGAGACTTCTGAAGTTTCGTGTGCGATGTATCACGTATGGGTACTACCGGTACTGCCTTTATATCTAGCATATTACGGGTGAAATCGCTGCTTCGCTGCTTTGAAACCAACCAAAGGAAAATTCAAATCCAGTCAGTTTGAGTGTCATCTCACTACGCAATGACGGCAATGTGCCATGCACGGAGCCCGTAGCGCGGCGATCAGAGTGTGATACATGTACGCTACTACTGTATATTGGGGTTATGTTCTATTGTTTCAAGTGCATGCATATGTATAAGAGTCCATAACCCCCCAGAGTGTGCAACTCGTGATCCTTCTCAGCACAAATCAGTGCCGCAACGAAATCCAAACTTCATACGTCATGTAGTGAGTAGCTATGACGAAATGGGAAGTTTGGCCCGGACCTACTTCGCCCGTTTGCCCAATTTGGGGTCTTTCTTTACGAATCCACGGTCAGGTATTGTACGTAACACGCCTGGAAAGGCTCAAGTACACAAAGAATTATTTTAGAGTTGTCGAACAGTTTTCTCTTTTGAGTGTCTCTCCGATAAGAGAAGAACAATGGCCACTGTTGAACCTAAAGCAAGGCGCTCCCCATTGTCGCCGGAGTGCAGTGTCTCTGTAGACGATATTCGTCAGTTTTTGTTCGATCTGGGCTCCTCATTTTCTTCTCTCGATTGTCGAGTGTTGGAAATTGTTAATTCTTCCAGCACCTGGATAGAGATTTATTGCTCGAAGTCTGTGCTTCTCACATGCAATAGAACACCCGTCAATTTGAACCGTCTGGTTGTGAACCCAGCAGGAACATTCACTGCAGGTTGAAGCACATCTACTTCGAAATCGATCGGGTCTTCATGCCGTGTGCCAAGAGCTATTTCCATCAAATCTTGTAAATCTATATCCATGCCTATTCTTGCTATCCCGGAGTCACGAACTCTCCCAATACAAGCTTTTCAGACAACGAGCAGAGAAACTCTCTTCAAATAAAAAAATTCTGTGACTGTGAAATCAAAGCCGTTCTGCTGACACTGCATAGCCCGTGCGCGTGCAGCAAACGTTTTACGTGACACTTCCGTGGCTTGCTTCAAAGCAACCTTCAACTTGGAACCCCCGCCGGATGTACCAGATATGCACATGGGGATATGGCCCCATCCGCCCATGCTTGCCCGGGGACCGGATGACGCAATGTTTGGATTTCGTTGCGCCAGACCCCAACCTGGAGTTGCACACTCTGGGGGGTTATGGACTCTTGATATGTAGTATCAACTTCAGTCCAAAGCTTAAAAAAAACTGGAATTATGGCCAACAAATTACATGACTGGATAGGGTAACCAGTTCTACAGTAAAAGAGGAATTAGACTTACGGCTACACTTGCACACAGATGTGGATCAGCTTGAACTTGGGACATCTCCGAAATATCCGTCTCCGTGTCATCATCCACTTCAGAGGCAAGCATGCGGCTAGTCCTCTTACTTGGTGCCAAGACCTCATCCTCTTCCTCATCTAAGGAATCCCTTTTCCTTTTCTTGGCCTTTCTGTCCGTGTCTTTGCTAGCCATGGTGGAAAGTAGAGGCAAGAGTAGTAGCTCTCAAAGATTGGGACGTTGTGGCATTGACAGAACTGAACAGCATAAAATCCGCGAGACGGTCTATAAGCACTACTATCTAATTCTTCAGTGCTCTTTTCTATTGTTCATCTTAGCTGGTCAAGTGGCCCAAACTGCAGAAGATCCATACTAAATTCACACGCCAGATACAAAATGTGACAAGTAACAGTTAGTTTTGTCTGAGTCTCAACTAACTTTGTTTTCACATTGTTTCATTCATATCAGATCGCATGCTGGATATGCCGCGTGATTTGCATACGTACAACTCCCGCCAAAGTTTTATTTCGTGATCAGTGCCTTTTATAAAGTTTTATTTCGCTTTTTTCAGTCTCAGCTTTTTTTGTACGTGTCGCCATGCAACAGGGCATGTTGTGATGACGCTACGCACTACTACGCATCTTTCGCACCACGGCCACTACACGGGCTACACATCACTTTTTGAGCCATTTCCTTGCGTGACGTTGTGAAGGATACTGGTACATTATCACTCCCGTAGTGTGTTCTTCTGAAGCCTGATTTGCGCCTTGTAGTTTGTAGGTCGGAGGCTTCACTCCTTTCATCACTCAGAACAGAACAGAAGTGTGATCTCTCAGGTATTGCGAGAAATTTTGAAAAGCTGGAGCACGATCACTTGGTTTGCAAATGAATGAGGTTTTCGTATATCGATGACGTGACGTGTGATAGTGCAAATTTCAGTTTGTGACTGGAAATATCCCCAAGAACCATGGAGCAGCAGTACAATCTGAGATCTCCTGGTGAGGAATGGTACTGTGAATAATTTCACTCAACTAAGGACTAATTCATGTGTTCATGCTTGTAGATTTGATTTGTGTTTCCAATCTGGTCTTAATATGCGTATTGTGTTTATGTCAGTGAATGTGATGCACAAGTATGTACACACTTATACAATGAAGTTAGTTGTCCATAGTATAGCTAGACTATCAGTATACCTTGCCAAGCACCACCCGTGGTTGAACAGTAACATCTAAAACATGCCTTGTGTTTTCTGTATAGTGTGAAGAAATCCGGTTTACATTTCTAGGCGACAAACTTCAGTATAATCTAGTCCGATTGTTTGGGACCGAGAATTGCACAATGTGCTTGTACCTATGTATTTCTTATCTGAAAGTAGACTGAAAGTCTGCTGCTATTGAGTGCATTTAAAGTGTGGTATGAGCTTTGGCCATCACAGATCGTCGTGAACACACTCCTATCATCATGCTTTGCATGTTAGCACAATAAAAAATTATTTAAAAAGCAGCCCTGCGGACTCGTTTGTTGCTTAAAAATACCGGTGCGGCACTAGCAGGTCATCTGCAACATGAAACATACTAGTAGGTAGATGATGTGAAAGCAGTCCTGTATTATCCTGCTGACATGTACCGGTGTTTGTTGATGTTTGATCTCTGCCCCTGCTCGGCAGCTGTCAAGCGGCTCATGCGAGAGGCGCGAGAACTCCGTGAACCAACCCACCAGTATCACGCCCAGCCGCTGGAGGTCAGTGCATTCAGGCATGTGTGGACTGTAACTACTGTGTCGAGATGGGATGTGCGATGGCTAAATTAGAAACCTCGAGAGGAAGCTTGTGGAAATAAGCTCCAGTCACTTGCTCCGTGCTGGTTTGAGTCAGCCACACTTGGATATCACAAAGTTAAGGATGGAAGTCAGTTGCAGACTTTTGACAGTGTTGCAGTGCTACATGTGCATCACAGTGACTGTATCACAGGAGCAGCATGGCCAGTCCTTTGCCATGCTAGTGGAATGGTTTGCAGACACACTATACGGATATGGACCGCACTGGAACCTGACTAATGAGCACGTGACAGAGTGATGTCGGCTTGCACATGCAAGCTTGTTGCGGGTATCATCTTTTTCCCTGCTAGTCGCTTACCAAAGCTGTTGCTCAAGTTGTGCCCATAGCATTAGCACTCAAGTAGTTTATTCAGAGTATATTTACTAGCGTGTCTGTTTGTGTCAGTGTTGGTAGATACATCCTGGCGGAATGCCAGTGTCACTTACTTCGTCTTTTAAAAGCCATACTCAGGGCTGTGTGTGTGTGTACGTGTGTGTACGGTTCCGTTCTCTCCATTTACAGGACAATTTGTTCGAGTGGCACTTCACTGTTGCTGGTGCATCGGACTCGGCGTTTGATGGCGGTCGGTATCACGGTCGCATCATCCTGCCGTCGGAGTATCCCATGAAGCCACCACATATCATAGTTCTCACTGTAGGTCTTCACTTAGTCCTTTTCTTTATCTTCTTTGAGTCTTGTTTAGATTCACAAGAACATGCATACGGATCTGAGAACAACACGTGTATATCTAGTTGATGCGGCTACGTGTTTTTCTAGCGGTATCCCGTATGCTGCACTGGTATTTCGTCCTTTGGGGCTGAAGTACTTTGAAGTATGGAGATGAGTCAGCTTGCCACACATGGTATTGATTTGTATCAAACAAGACAGGTGTTCTGTGTTTCTCCAGCCCAATGGCCGCTTTATTGTTGGTCACAAGATTTGTCTCAGTGTGTCAGGCTATCATCCTGAAACGTGGCAGCCGTCTTGGAGCAGTAAGTAATAAATTAGTTTGAAATCATTGTACAATGTGCCTAATCTAATTTTGTTGAATTTGCGATTGCCATGTTGGTAACGCTGTGTGCAAGCTAGCTCACATTCTCACATGCCTTCACTCAAGTCACAACTACTTTTGCACTGTTGTGCAAATGCCTGTACAAGATCACTGGGCATCTGCAGTGGTGGCACGTGAAATCCTACCTCGTGAAGAAAGCAGACCTGCCTTCACGCTGTATGCATAGTGTAAGGGACATGCAGCTCTGGAGCTCTTGCCTCCATGATGTTGGGGATTTCCCTTGCCACTGCGGTATGATGTGATTCAAACTACTGTGGTGCTTCTCTTTCGTGTGAGTCACGTTAGCTGTGCAGCTCCAAACCTGAGAGTGCTACGTTGTGCATTTGGTACCCTGGTGCAGGGCTCTATCTTATTCATGAGCCTGGATATCATTGAGTGCAGCGCTGGCTAGTGAAACCCAACCACTCGTTCCAGAACTGTGCCGTTAGTTGCACGGCGAGCGCCAAGGGCTGCTTGACTTAGGGCTCGGAAAGTGTCCCAGCAGTCAGATGTTACTGGCCAGCGCTGTTCTTTAGCATATTGCGCCACTGGCTATGTGTGTGTACATACTGTCATGGCAGCTGTTAAATTTTGTACGCGTCTGTCGTGTCAGCAACAGAATGATGTTATACCTCAAGGCTCAACTGGCATGAAAAGTGCATAATGGTTTTGATGCCATACCTCAACCTGTATGACATGTGCATGAATATCAATCAACTGACATGAAACGTGCATACTAATTTTGATGTCATACTTCAACCTGTATGACATGTGCATGAATATCAATATGCATAGTGGCAGTGTGTTGATTGCATTGTGGGCTATATGTGGTGTGTGCAATACAGTTCGGACAGTACTCCTTGCACTGATTGGCTTCATGCCGACGAAGGGTGAAGGTGCAATAGGAGCGTTGGACTACACGGACCAAGAGAGAGTCAAGCTAGCTAAGCGGTGAGTGAGGCGAATCGGCCACTGAAAACGATACACCTCTAGACTGATAGCGACAGTGGCAGTTCCGGCACAACAGTGTTGGTGCCACATGCATTCTGTGTACATGTAGCGTGTTTGGACATGCACATTGAATGTGTATACCCGTGTCTCTTTTCTGTGTGCTTTCGACTGTGCAGTTGTACACATTCGACTGTTCTCTTTTTGTGTGTAAGCTAGTGCGGAATGTCGTCAGCTGTATTGCGACAGTAGTTTCAGTGTATCATGTCGTGCTAGTTGTATGTGTCAGTTGAAGAGTTGAAGGTGCTGGAAGCTGCATACATACTCAAGCCTGACTAGTAGTAATGCATTCGGAAAGAAAATGTCGCATGTCTGACACTATACACTTAGATATTCTCTTTTTCGTCTTCCTCTACAGGTCAGTAAACTTTGTATGCCCTACATGTGGTCTGAGAGGAGGTGATGCGCTGCCCGACAGACCAGAAGGTAAACTTAGAAGGGATGTGTGTGTCTGTGTGTCTGTATCTGTGTGCGTGTTCTTCTGGGGCATCGGGATGAGTTGAGAGCCATCCTGTTTCTTACTTCCCAAGCCTTTCCTAATCCATCTTTGTGTCCACAACAAACTTACCGTAAACCTGGAAACCTTTGCCCATGGGAAACTTGAGCTACTTCCGCGGTACACTGGGTTAGTTACGTGCCACAAAACTGAAATTTGATGTCAACCTGTACTGTTTGTAACAGTTGCTATAATACTTTAAGCAATTCGCAAACATTGCCAGTACAACTCTGCCACTGCTTAAACGCCGCTAACTAAAATTGGCGCGTAAGTTTCCCGGCTGACAGTAATCAGAATACAGTGTACATATTGCCATCAATGCGGGAGAGAACCTCTTGAAGTCAGAGGCTGCGAGCGTATCCTACTTTAGTGACCGAAAGGGAGTTTCAATTGAATTTCTGTTCTCATCTGTGTGTGATCTAAACGGTACAGGTCAATCCGCGTTAAGCGCAGAAGATGAAGCACTGGCGGCCCAGATTTCGTTCAAGGTATGCTGGAGATTGTGATGTAGTTCAAAAGTCGTTGTGTGTCACTCTGGAGATTGTCAGATTCTTGAAAAATACCGGTGTTCCCCTGGCTTTGATCTTGCGCATTAACAAATTGTTAGTTTGAGACAAAAGTTTGATCTTACGGTCTGAAAAATGTGATGGGGTCACGCACATCACTCCGTACATGTAAGCCTAAGCTGAATAGGGTTGTAGAAGCCAGTGCTGTGCACAGAGCTAACATTGGAATGATGTATCACCTGCTGCTGGTCTTCCCTCAGGGGGCAAAGTCGGCGACGTCCACCTCTTCTTCACCAGCACAGCCGGATGCTAGCAACAAGTCGTCGTGTACGACCAAGGCTGCTGCTGCTGCGAGTGAAGTCTCTACATCGGCAGAACCAACACCCAGTGGGAGTAGTACATCAGCAAGTGACGCTTCTGTCGCCGCTGACGACAGAGGCAGTGGGCCAGCACCTTCCTCGGCGCAATCACCTGCGCAGTCGGGTACGAGACAGAGAAAGCCCGGAAAAGCAAAGGGTGCAAGCGCCGGTGCATTGCCACGGTCTGCTGCTGTCGCGGAACGTCAGACTCATGCTTTCGACTGGATCTGGACTGTACTGGTGTATTTGCTTGTACTAACCCTTGTGGGCTTGGGTGTGCGGCGGCTTTTCTTTCTCTGACAAAGAAACTCTTCACTGCCCGTTCTATTGCTACTGATGGGGTTCAGTGTGAATCACGCCTTGAACGGCATGCAACTTCACCTCTCAACCGCACAGTCAACACTACTATCAGGGCTGCCACTCTCTTCAACCAGGTTGCTGCAACACTTCACTTAGTGGCTGCCATCATTGGAAAAAATGCCAAAGAGAAATGACAGCACTTGGCAGAAATGGATGATTCCATGAAGTATGAAGCAGTGTACCATAGGGCGAATTTTTTTAATTTACAGTTTTTTGCTGTTTAAAGCTTCAGCTACTTTGACATTTCTGGTTCAACGTTTCCATTGTATGTCACTTCCTATTAATATTGTTGAGCTGGCTTAGCATATTTAAGATGGATCACCCTCCTCACCCATGCACGCGCAAGGCTGCGAGAACTGGTTCTCTCTCTGAAACACATTGATTTTCACCCGGTATCACTTCAGACCAGTACACTACTATCTCTACACTACTATCTCCTTTTCTAATGTTTTGTTCAGCACTGGCTTCGCTGGTGCTACAAGTGTTCACACCCCCTATCCCCATCTCAATCGATTTGAATTGATCTCTCCAAAGTACTTCAAGTGGAAGCTCTATTGGAAAGAAGAATGGTCATTTTTCACCACCCCTCCTTTGATTTCAGCAGGAATAAGAAACAGTATCAAATCAAGCAAACAAGTCTTCACAGAAACCGATAAATAATTAGTAGCAATTTAGTACCTAGTGAAATGTTGATATGTTGAGCCGGTGCCACGAATACCGCTCAACACAGTACCTTGGCCATGCTTACTCAGAGATCTGAGAGGTGTGTGTGCATGCTCAGTAACCAGTACCTGGGCTATTCTTACTCAGAGATCTGAGAGGTTTGTGTGCATGCTCAGTAGCTGCCTTATCATGTCCTCGACCGTCTCCAGCTGCTCTGTGGTGCTGTAGAAGCGCACGTAGTCGCCACTGCCATCAACCAGGTACTTGGCAAAGTTCCACTTGGCCGAGTGTCCCGTACGGTGCTCCAGGAAGGAGAACAATGGGTGAGCATCCTCTCCCAGCACATCGACTTTCTCAAACATCTTTGCCTCGTTGACGTCCTGTCTGCCAATGAAGTTGGCAATCTCGGGATTGGACCCAGGCTCCTGGCGTCCAAACTGATTGCAAGGAAAGAGCAAGATGGCAAGGCCGTGCTTGGAGTAGCGTTTGCTTAGCTTGCTCAGCCACTTGTAATTGGAATCAGTGTACCCGCATTCGCTGGCAACATTGATAATGAGGACGACCTACACAGGAATGATCGGGAAGAAATGCAGAATACTCACAAGATTAAGACGGCTTGCTCGCTCGTAGTACTAGCATATACTGGTACATGTACATGTACATGACCCTAGACACAGAGCCCCCCGCCCCGCCACACACACTGACGCCACTAGCACCGTGCACCTGCCTGCTACAAAAAGAAGCACGGACACCTTACCGTGTACAGCCACCTATCCATACAATGTATGTTTCTGACTCCATGGCCTGATTTCCCCTTACACCAAGCGGTAGACATAACGATAGACCAATTTTGCTAGCAATTCTGCAAGCAAAATACTATCAAAGAATTTTGAAAGGAAATTTGCTGGCAAATCGCAGCAAAATATGGATATGTTTGCTGAAAATGGGGGAAATAGGGTCGGTTTACACTTCAAAATGTCTATTTAAAGAATGTACGATACAGTTACAACTACATGTACTTGTAACTTGTACGGTGCACGTGACTGATTCACATTCGCCAGCATGCTAGCACCGGACTCACTTTTGTTAATTGTTGGCAGATTGACGCCAACACGTGACCCACTTGTGGTCATTTTCCAACATGTGACACAAATGTTGGCCTCACATTGCAGCAACAAGGCAGCAAAATATCGAGTGGCCTGGCAAAATGAAAGCAAAAATAATATCAACGACGAGCCAGGAAAATTTCGTGGCAAAATATCGAAGCTTCGCCGTCAAAATCAGGTTTTGTCTACCAAGCGGATATGATTTGAATGAAACCGTAGCAGATCAAGACTTGCGTGAGACGTGCACACATGCTCTCACGCACACCCACACAAGCACACGCGCTCGTGCGCACACACACACATACATACACAAAACTCAGTTCGCATGTAAAACCTGTGGTTCGTCTTCTCTACACTGGGCCCGCATCGGGGTACCGTGCGTATGTACTTGTAGTAGGGTGCAATTACTAACATGGCCATACCATGCACCGGTTCTGAAGAGACCAGTCTAGTCACGCACCAAATCCAAAATTGTGGACCATTTCTTCAAATATCAAGAAGGGTAGTGCACTAGTGACTAGTGAGCAATTTGAAAGCCGCTGCCTGGTTTCCCCCAACACTTTGGTTATCACAGCAAACAATACCTTTCCACGATATTGACCCATTTCAATTTCCTGTCCATGTATATCGGTAGCGGTATGAGCATAGAACGTCTCCGGTACATTGTGCGTAACTGCCATTGTCCGTTCAGCTCCCATGCTCCAAATGAGGAGAAGTTGCATCAACAAGCCGGCTACGAAGCTAGCCATGGCCATTGCCGCTCGTGTACGATCACTACAGACGACTGCTCTACACTACCATCCAAAAGCACTCCGCGGCCACCTACAAAGAGCAGCCACAAACTAACTTACTTTTACTTACTTGATCATGAAGAAGTCTTTTCAGTTTCTGAGTCGCGATCCGGTGAGCCAGCGATTCGTCGTCATCATTTTCACATGATGTTTACTACTGTAGTACTAGTAGTAGTACGGTGCATACGGTACCTGTGACCATGGTGACTGCGAGCTCGTGTGTGGACGGGGCATGCATCATTGCATGGCAGGAGTATACCATCAAGAGTACAATAATTATAACGTTAACCCCAGGGGTTATGTACTCTTCTGTCCCCGGGGAAAATTGCAATTCCGCGGCCGCGTTTTTTTCCGCGTTTTTTGCGATTTTTTAAAAGACCGCATTTTCCGCGATTTTCCGGCGTTTTTTGAACTTTTTTGTTGCACTACACGTACTTTTTACACGTACACACAGTGCACTGTTCGGTCAGCAACGTCTCATCGTGGCGGCTTTTTACTCAAATATGACGAGTGCTTACACCAGAGACTTGTAACTGATTGATTTCACTACATACTCACTGAAAATTGCCGCACATCAATATTATTCACCGCATATTTACCGCAAATTCACCGCAAATTATGCCATATAATGCCGCGTTTTCCCCTGCGTTTTTTGCAATTTTTTTCCGCAATTTTCCCCGGGGACAGACTCTTCAACTGTCTCTTGAGTTGATACCATCAAGAGTATGATGTATGTGTATGTGTATCTACAGTCAGTATAACCCCCTGGGGGGGGGGGGGGGGGGATTATGGTATGTGTAGGGCTCCCTGGTCACGGTGGATTACAGTTGCCGCGCAGCACCAGTCCTAAATTTAAAATCCACCCTCCGGTATGGCGGGAGGGATGGTCTTTGTCTGAGCCTGCAGCAGGCTCAGCCACTGGCGATACTACCCATCTCACCAAACGGAAATGGCAATATTATTATACAATGTACCATAACTAGCGTCGTGTATAGAAGCCAGGCTTGTTCGTGTAGAAGCCGATGCGACGGCTAGGCTATCAGTAGTAGTACGGTAGCAGTCCAAAACCAGGCGTATGCACCAAAAGTCCATCTTGAAAATCAAGCTTGTTTTCTAAATATGTTTCTGCAGGAGACAGTATACTGGCACTGCCATCATGGTCATAGTGAAGACCGTCTTGCTCCTGCATACAAGTATGATACGACTCAGGCGAGTGCGAGGATCTGGGCTCAAACGTTATTGGGTTTGAAGATTCGTAAAATCTGCAGGAAGCCTCACACATCCGAGTTCATGTATTTTCATTCGTCGCAGCTGTGCCGAGTGGAATTAAGTTCGTCTTGTGATCATCTCGTTGCAGAACTGGTGAAAGTTATCTATGGAGTGCCTGCTCACGTCCTCGAGCTCATAGCAGTACCAATAGATTGATGGAGGCGACTACATGTAGTCATACAAGTGCTGCATGATGGTGATGTCATCAAAAGCGATCCTCCTCCTCCTCTGAGCTGCGCCTGTCACCGCTGGAAGTTCACATCAATGATGTGCAGGCATACCCATACGCGAGCAATGTTTACTTCGTTTCATCAATCTTTCATTCCCTCAAACCAAGAGTATGTACTCTTCCTCAGACTAACGAATCTCAAAACGTTTGTTGATAGGGCAAGCCTGCATCACTGAACACTAGAAACTCAAGTATGTGATCAAGTAGAGGGGAAGCTAATTCCATTCAAGCTATGCGGCAAGGCAGCAAAGACGTTTGCCAGCGACTACTTGTAGAACCTAGGAAACCGTCAGCATAAAACATGAACAGGAACAGACCACTGCAGCCAGAGTAAGCAGTGATGATGGTCTCTTGGGAACCAGTTAGTGCTTGTAAACTTGAAGGAGATGCTCGATAATGGAGATGCACGATAGAGCTATTCTAATTTCTAAGAGAACATGGGTTGGCCTGAACTGAAGCCAAGGCACCACGCACAATCGGTCATCAATCCGTGGCATTCTTGTTGGCGTATTCAATGTAGAACTGCAGGAGCCGTTCGCGTTCACCGCACGTCGCCTTATAATCTGGCACTTCACGAACTGCTTCCCACCACTTGTGGAAGCGGTAGTACTCGCCATCCTTGTCATTCACACTGCCAGGAACCTCGAATCCTCGATGATGTTTCAGGATGTAGAATCGCTCTACCCACGGTGCAACGGACAGGTCGGCAAAGCCGAGCTCATCTCCCGCAAAGAACGGTCCGTCTTCTGACAGGCTGTTCATGGCCTTTATGATCACACGTATGTGTTCCAGCAGATCATGACGTGCCACTTCTTGCTTTGCGGTGTCCCGTGTTTTCAGCAGCCGATAGAACAGCGGGACGATTTTCTTCGAACAGTAGTCCGCCCAGATGCGCACATGTGCCCGTTTCACCGGGTCGACGGGCAGCAATCGCCTGCCCGAGTCAGGGTACGCATCCTCCAGGAACTCCATGGTGACCAGCGACTCGTAAATGTTCTGATCCTTGAACGTCAGAGCTGGCACTTGGCCATAAGGATTCACTGCTAGCAGCTCCGGTGGCTTTGCAAACGGGTCAACCTCCACGTACTCAAACTGCACACCTTTGAGTAGCAGCGACACCCAAGTACGCTGCGCAAACGGGCAATACCAAGCCGAATATAGCTTCACGTCAGCTCCAGAATCACTCATGTTGGCGTGTCTACGGAGACGTAGCGCCCGTTGAGTAGTGCTCGAAAGCTGGGTTCAACAGCCACCGCGTACCGGGAAATGAAGTTTGCAAACCCTCAGTGTAGGAAAAAAACTTGGGAAGATGCTGAAAATGTTCCAATGACTTGCCACTTGGCTCGTCACTCACGGTCTTGCCTTCCTCCGCCAATTACTTGGCTGTAAGCGAAATTGTCAGCTGTCCGCTCCGCTACCCGCACACTACCCACAACCAAGCTTGCAAGGCACACGTACACAGTTGGAAGGCGAAGCTAGTATTAGAGAAAATAGTGAGCTGAGGCGATCTGTCGTAGATCTACTACACTACCGGTAGACGCGGTATAACGCCGGTATACACTACAATAACTGTCTGTATGTAGTACACTGTAGACCTACCGTGTGTAGTTTTATTCCACATTTCCAGGCAAAGTCCAAGAGCCTTTCGCGCGCTGTTCGTGTCCTGTTACCATGGTTACGATTTTAGGAAAAAAACTACCGTTCTAAACATTTTGGTCGGTACATGCATATGCAGCGCGTAGCGCAGCCCACACACTACTCAGTATTATAAATACTACTGCATCGAAATCGAGAGGTTCTGCTAATGCTATGATTGTGATATTATGGGGAATTGGCATTAGTTTGTGACTCCAGCCAGGCACAAGGCCCAGTGTATTCATTACAGTCATGATGACATAGGCAGGTCAGAGCTATCGACGAAGTGGACTCAAGCGGCCATTATCGGCTTCGTTTGCTGTTTTCACCAAAACAACACTGCCAGGGTCAGTGAGCTGAGTAACTAGTTACTTGGCCTGGCTTCAGCACTCCCACTGTGACTAGTGAGTAGTATCCTTCTTGAATCTTCATTCTTCACGGTCTTCGAATACACACGGCTACGGAGTGTGGAAAATCCGGTTCTCTAGAACTCCGGATTTCGGATCCACAATGAATCAAGCTCAAGCAGCTAGCAGATCTGTAGCGGAACAGGCAGTGAAGCTAAAGCTCTTTTCGGCATGGTTCTGCCCGTTCGCCCAGCGCACGTGGATAGGCCTGCTGCACAAGGAGGTGCCTTTTGATTACGTCGAGGTGGATCCTTACGCAAAACCAAAGGAGCTATTGGCAGTGAGCCCGGAGGGTCTTGTGCCTGCGTTGGTGGATGCGGACGGGCGGAGTGTGCACGAGTCATTAATTACACTAGAGTTCCTGGAGGATGCATTTCCGAACTTGGGCAAACCCATACTGCCTGCAGATCCTATCACCAGGGCGCAAGCGCGTATCTGGTCTGACTTTTGTCAGAAGAAGATCATTCCCACGTTCTACCGCATGCTGCAGAAGCGGGACGAGGTGGAGCGAGAAACGGCACGGCGCGATATGCTAGACAGTGTGCGCACACTCACGAAGGCCATGGAGCGCCTCTCCGATCAGGGCCCTTTCTTCATGGGCGAAGACTTTGGCCTGGTCGATATTGTTGTATCGCCCTGGGTGGAGCGTTTCTACATCCTGAAGCACCACAGAGGATTCCAAGTGCCTGGCAGCATCAACGACAAGGATGGCGAGTTCTATCGTTTTCACAAGTGGTGGAAAGCAGTGCAGGGGGTCCCAGCATTCAAGGGTACGACCTGCGACCGTGAAAAGCTACTGGCAACGTATCAGCGCTATGCCGACGACACTGCAACGTCAATGGTTGCGGTGGCGATGAGAACTGGCAGACCGCTGCCGTAGCGACTGGATGCAAGATGGCGAACATGCGTCATGAGCAGAAATGTGCGCGTATTCTGTGGCTTGAGTTCATCACGATCGGATGCATAGAATATACTCAGCGTTGCTCATCTTGAAAGTAACTTACTGAAGTATGACTTCAACATCCACTCCTTTTTCAACGACATCGTTTTATAAGCACAGAGTCAGGACATCAATGTTGAACTCCTTCTGCAAAAGTGTTGCCCCATAGGCACAGCGATGTCTTTTATTTATTTGTTTGTAGGCCCAGAATGATTTAGAATGCCGCAGAAACACTCCCCATCAATCCCTGCTTCAGGCATGCACTTCATCAATTCTTTGTATTCTTGCATTGATAACGTCTCTCCCTTGCTTCTAGCCACGCTGGGCCGAGAAGGCAGCAGGGCTCACTAAAGCCCCAGCTCTCATACGGGTGAAAGGGATGGGTGGGCCAGCAGGCAGAGAGTCGTGCAACTTTCCAAAACTACTTCCATTAATTTTATAATTATGTGTTAGAGAGACTAGCTTGCAATCATGCAACATAATGTGACTGCGAGTCAGTGACAGAACAGCTGGGGTTTCCAACCGTCAGGTAGCTTCACACTGCCATGCTTAGACCAGCATGGTCGGTGAACGGGTCAAAAATTGATAAGCCAAACAAAACAAGCCAAAACAGGGTGATATAACTTAGCATATAGAGCATATCAGACTAGCAAGCAAAAATATGTACAGCATTTCTTCACAACAGCACAGGCCCCGTAGGTCGAACGTGGACATCAGAATCCGAGACAGTGTAAACTTCCGGAGAGATGAAAATCTCTCGACAATTTCTGGTGGTCACCAGCCCAGCCTATGCGTGCACACACGCACACACACACGTACAGCCACTCAGTGATTAGTAGCCACTCAAGCCTACAAAACGCAGGACTCGTCGGTAGAACGTCGGCTTGCGTGGATTCTGCGTGTAAAAGAGCGTGTCCTTGAACCACACCTCCTCGTCAGCCGTTAGCCACAGCGCCTGAACAAAGCAGGGTGCAAGAAGATATGATAAGAAAAAGGGGCGTCGGATGGTGTGGTACGGTCAGCCATCTGAAGTACAATTTATTCGTGGGGAATGGTGGCCGAGCCGAAAATTTTGGAAACTTAGAGCCCAGACCAGTGTATTTTATTGATTCACGGGTACCTGGGGCAAAGAGTGGTACGGTCAATACCGTAGAGACTGTAGCGTGTCCGAGGCCCCTGTACTAAGTGTGCTTCTTCCGAAGTTAGTCATTGCCGAGTGCCATGATCACACCTTAGACAGCTAATGCACTTCACCCAGCAATAAGCTGATGCAGGGCGGTAGCCAACTTGATGATGCAGCATAGTGTGGTGTTGCCCCCACTTCAGATTTTCGGCCATCCCAATCAGAATCGACAACGTCACTGTGCAATGCAAGACTTGGCATTCTCTAACACCCCTGTTTACCTATGCACGCAGCAGTACATGCATGTTGGCACTAATATGTACAGTAGATCACTATGCTGGTTCTTTGCTACAATTTCGTGCAGAGCAAATCTGTACAGCCATACTTCAAAGTACACAAACGGGCCAGCCGCCCCTCAAAGCTGGCTACAACCCTACAAGCTTGGCCATGCGCTGCTGAAGAAGAGGAGACACATTCGGCAACCTACCTGTGGTGGCAACTGCATGTTCCGTTGCCATTTCGTACCGTACGGGGCTTTAGGGTCTGCCAAACAAATGCAACACAAATACAACATGGCTCGTGACTGCTTCAAAGCACATGGGCTCAGTATAATGGTGATACAGCAGCTACTGGCACCCGGCTGGCTCGATTGCGGCATTCTACAGAAGTTAGTTATCAATGATTTCACCAATTATTTGTTCAGAAAGTGGTGGACATCACGCAACTGCATTGTATATAAAAGGGGGTTTGTCAACTGACAACTAATTCACTTAGAGTGAATTGCAACTAAATAGAGTGGTTGTCAGTTGACAAACCCCCTTTATTCACCAATTATGTCACCATATCACAGAAGTATTTCGCATCGAGTGGCATCACACAAGCACCGATTTACCACTCGAAGCAAAACACGTCGTATTTTGCCAATAAAGCTGGGAAAGCAGTCAACGCTAACTAGTCTGAAAATGTAAATGCACATTGTAACGAGTTTTTCAGTGTGTTTGAATGAATACATATCCCAGATCCCGGATGCAGGCGGTCCAGCCTCACTGGCCGCTAAGAAACTGAATGAATACAAAGTAGATGGACCCTGTCTGACTACTGCTTTGCATGTATGTGTGTCTGTGTGTGTGTGTGTGTGTGTGTGTGTGTGTGTGTGTGTGTGTGTGCGTGTATGTGTGTGCGCGCACGTGTGGGTGTGTGTGTGTGCGCGCACGTGTGGGTGTGTGTGTGCGCGCGCACGTGTGGGTGTGTGTGTGTGTGTGTGTGTGTGTGTGTGTGTGTGTGTGTGTGTGTATCACGCACACGTATATGACATTGCGCGCTGTAGGTGCATGTGGACATGTTGAATGATATGGTTGTGTCTCACCATACTACACGTAGATAAAATGACGAAACAAAATCACTTACGACGCGTGTTCAGTGGATGCTGCTTCAGTCTGACTTCTTCTTCCCCCATCCCGACTAGCTTCTCAAGCATGTCGGGGTCCGTCAAGTCCTTGTTGGCCTCAAATCGCTCGCGAATCTGTACTCTGTCCTTCTGCCACTGCGAGCGATACCGACTATGGTCCAGCGCTGTCCTACACGCATTCCTGTAGAGTCTCCAAACACGCTGCTCGGCCGACAAGGCGGGCGTGGATATGATATGTGGCAGGGACGGTTTTGGCATCTTCTCGCTCCGTCAGCGGCTCAACATCAAAATTAATGTGAAGTTTGTTGGCCGCCCACCTCCAAAATTTGACTTCTGATCGTCCTACCCAGCGGCACGAGAAAGAAGCACCATGTAACGATCCGATTCAGCAAAAAGGCTACTGTGCGTAAGTGGATCTAGAATTAGGAAAGAAGGTGTTCAGTTGTTTCACGAGAAGAAAACACTACACAGGACAGCGGCTACTGCATGCACTGTTGTGAGGCAAAAAAATGGACTGCTAGCTGGACATGTTCAACAAAAACAGGGAAAAACTTCCAGTCGCCATGGTGACTGTGAGGAAGTCCACACGCGAAAGAATACGAAAAAGAATTTTTCTGAGAATTGCTTCAAAAGATCAAACACTTTTGAAGCTCCGAAGAGGACGACGATGCCTCAAGTATTTTTTCTATAGCTGAGGTCTTCTTCCTCCCTCGCGGCACACTCAGTTATTTTGCCCGTGCTGGTTTAGTGGACCCAGTATTATCCGGACCAGTGTCTGGTGGTCATGGCCAATACCACAGCCAAAGATGCCAGGCACGTGAAAGGTGTCAATCCGCAGCACCTTGTGGAAAAAATCATCAGAACTCGCATCTACGAGTGCAAATACTGGAAAGAGCACTGCTTCGCTCTCACAGGTATGGATTCAGCTCATAATGCGAGCTTTGTGGCTCGGGAAATATCTTTCCAATTATCCAAGATCGTGAATTACTTATTGACAATTAATTATTTGAGACTTTCCTTTTCAACACCCTCAACTAATGAAGATTTGACATTACATGTACTAGTATTTTCTCCCTACTTACGTTCGTTGTTTTCAGCTGAACTAATTGTGGACAAGGCGTTGGATTTAGACTGTGTCGGAGGGGTATATGGTGGCAACATCAAAGCGACATCATTCATGTGCTTACTCCTGAAAATGCTGCAAATTCAGCCGGACAAAGATATAGTTGTGGAGTTCATCAAAAATGAGGAATTCAAGTGAGTATGTGTTTGCTGTTGACTCTCAGTGCCACCGTATTTACGAGCACGCATTGCTTATACATGTTGCCTGCAGTCAATAGATTAGTAAGTGGTGTGGTTTACGATGCTCTCCGCTAAGTCTTTGATCTAATTCAACTGCGAGATTGTGCCTCGCGATCAGGAACTTTTTCGCAAGTGATTATAGAGATGTACATGTGCTACACAAGTACAGGAGATGATAGGCTATAGAGATACACTGTGTATGTGCACGGGCTAAGTTGAAATCCCTAAAATAGGTTGCCAGGGAGTCGTAGCGTCTAGGGAGACAACACAAGATCATAGTACACATCTGCCCGAAACGATATGCGCTTTGAGCGTTTGATCCCGAATTTGGAAGCTCAACATGATCCATTGTCTATGCAGCTCACGATTGTGGCCTTGACCTGCTGACCTCAAGTGCGGCCCAGACAAATGATGCGAGTGAGTCTAAATCCGACCGGCCCTGCAAAGGCGACTGTAACGGGTAGCCCATGGTCGAACCACCCACGTGATTTAGCGCTACATTAGCCTTTGTCATCTCGTTAGATGCCGCGACTCCCTGATCATCGATAGGGTGATGTTGTTCAGGGGCGTAGGAAGGGTTTTGGAAGTGGTACGACCAAAGGTGGGTGCGGCCGAAGGCCGTGTTGGAGGGGAGTCTGGGGGAGCTCCCCCGGGAAAATTTTGTAAAAAAGACACAAAATCCTGCGTTCTGGGAACTTCTGGCGCAGTGTGCAGTCGAGTCGAGTACAGTACTCAGCACGACTGCGGGTGCATAACAGATCTACGAGTACGAGGCTAGAAAAAGGTCAAAGTCTGATGCGCATATCAAGAGTCCATAAACAAAATGTTTATGCACTCTTGCGCATATGCATACCGATGGATCCTGACTTTTTTATTACGGTTTTGCACGTTCCGGACGGACCACACTTTTCGAAAAGTGGAACGGCCATGGTCGTACCAGTCGTAGCGGGTGCTACGCCTCTGTTGTTCATGCAAGATCACGATATCTCATGACCGTCGAAGCTCATATTGTACTGTAGTGTTGTGAGCCTGTGACACTTGTTTTTCATTACTTGCTTACTCAATCCACTACCGCAGAGTGGTGAGCAACTGCTTATTATTGGTATTACTCCGAGCACTTCGAGCACAGTGAATGCATCCTTCGGGATTCATGACTTCTCTATGATGTACTGTCGCGTTGTGTTGTTCACAGGTACGTGCGGTGTTTAGGCGCATTGTATATGCGTCTTGTTGGAACAGCACTGGACTGTTACAAGTACTTAGAACCCTTATACAATGACTATCGGAAGATAAAGAGGAGAAACTCGGCGGGCCGTGAGTATACACTGAGCCTCAGCATTCTCTCCCGCCTCTCTTTGTCTCTGTCTCTCTCTTTCTCTCTCTCTCTCTCTCACTCACTCACTCTCTCTCTCTCTCTCTCTCTCTCTCTCTCTCTCTCTCTCTCTCACACACACACACACACACACACACACACACACACACTTCTCTGTTCTTTCTCATTGTCTTCAACTCATGTTTGTTCTTCATGACTGAGTACCAGGGAAGTCAATTACACTAGTCTCTAACTCTCTGCTAATCACTGCACTAAAATCGCGAACATATTCCATTAACTGTTGCTGTCTGTCATCATCTGTTGTTTTTAGAATTCGAACTGCTTCACGTGGATGAGTTCATCGATGAGATGTTGACTGACGATCGTATTTGCGATATCATTCTTCCGAGAATTCAGGTACTATGTGCTTGCTCTGTGTACTGGTATTTGTGCTGACATGGCACAAGTACGTTAACACATCACCACGCATTGCAATACCACTGAGCATGTACGAGTCGCATCTCTTTTGCTTAGATAAGGCTAGAATTGCCACAGCTGCTGCTGTAGCGGACATTGAAATCCGTTGAGAAGTCATGCGACTACGGGGCGCTGGCCTTGCAGCCACGAGCACTGCTGGTCCATTTTTACAGTGTGGACGTGAACTACAGTGTGTGTACGCACTAGAAGAAGCAAGGGCGCCGACCTAGGTCATGCCATCGGATTTCAATGTCCACGACCTTCTAGTCTAGATCATGTGATATGCCCAATTCTGCGTGATTCGAATTTCTCACGATATCCACTTCATAAACTTGCTAAGTGTGCTGATTGCAGGGGAATTTTGTTCTGTCCGACATGTGTTTTCTCTTCATCGCAGAAACGTCTGGTTTTGGAGCAAAGCGAACAGCTTGAACCACGGGTAAGAGGTGCTGAATTCACCTTTGCCTTTATCTTCCTTTGATTGCACAGCTTGTTTCTGTACTGTGTTGCTAATGCATACATGGTAGGTGTTTGTAGACTTGCACTTGGGCAAGCTGTCTGTACACGATGTATGGGTAGTAACATTGCTACGTTTATACCATGACTCTGGGCAATGTCCCCTGGATCCACACCGTAGCTGGATTGTTAATGTTGGGATCCAGTTGTCAGGGTTTGTTGACAGAAATGGCTGGTCGTAGGGCCGAAACATACCATATCTTCCAGGGTGTGAGCTGCACTTGCATCTCTGGGAAACCAGCCATAAGTACACACTTGAAATGATTCCAATCCTAATGTGCATTTCTATACAAAGCAATATACACTTGAATGTAGTGTGTGCCTCCAAGAGAGGCGGGTGGGGTGGGTAGGGGGCTAATAAATAGGCACCGACGCAGATAATATTCCCTAAATCCAGTGGATAGCCATTCTAAATATTTGTCTGCGGCTGCTCTGGGTTCTGTTCTGTGGTCGTGCATGTGTGTGTGTGTGTGTGTGTGTGTGTGTGTGTGTGTGTGTGTGTGTCCTAGGTCAGTGCTTTGGATGATGACTTAGATGATGTGGATGATGCCGAGTTGGAGGAACTGGAGCGCGAACTGGTAAGTTCTGTCAATGTTGCTGCAGCTTACACTTCCAACAAGTTTCCCTGCTGGACATCTTGAAAATCGTGTCATTATGTAACCGCCTGTGTTATCGATAAAGGGCTCATTGGGGTTGTAATTGTCCACCTTGCTATACAAGTCATGAAAACTGGACAAAATCGCCTACAACTGTAAGCAGTTGTGTAAGCTGATCATTTCCTGCTCTTGTTATATGTCTGGTGTTTGCCCCTGTCTTGTGTAGCGTGACTCGCCTCGACGATCACTGACACCACCGCGTCGTGGCCGCCAAAGCCCACCCTCGCATCGCCGCCGCAGCAGCAGAAGTCCGTCGCCCAGGCACAGGTATGCCCGTGTGTGTCACGTGCACGATGGAGTAACTGTATCAGTTGCCAGTTGTTCTGTTTCAGCTCTTGTGCAAATCCTACGGCATGTGTTGATACTCTTCTGTGATGGTATTCTGGTTGCTGCTTAGGAGAAGAAGTCCTGATGGCCGTCATCACAGCAGAAGTAGGTCTCCAAGGTGAGAGGATCTTGAAAGAACCGTGTTGAGCGCATGTGAGGTAGTGAGGCATGCTCGGAGGAATGCTGCAGGTGACACTGCTGGCTACTTGGTACCTCCATTCATTTTACTTCGAAGTACACACTTCATTTTGACAAACATGCCTTTTACAGGTTATACATGCATTCCTGCTTTGTGGTTGTGTCTCCTCCCCATACCACTGATACGTGTCTCCTCCCCATACCACTGATACGTGTCTCCCCCCATACCACTGATACATGTCTCCCCCCATACCACTGATACATGTCTCCCCCCATACCACTGATACATACAGTACAGTACATAACCCCCCAGAGTGTGCAACGCCTGATCCAGCTCTGCATAAGGTCTAGGTCGAGCGGAATCGGATCTTCTGATGTCATGCGTACACTCCACACCAGCACAAGGCCGGTCTCGAGGCAGGGCACCGTTGTTTCTGATCCGAGAGTACCCGCGACTCCCCGGGTTCCCCTCAGATGTGTACGGTATTATGACGCAAAGATCCGATTACGCTCGACCAAGACCCTATGCAGAGCTGGATCAGGCGTTGCACACTCTGGGGGGTTATGTACTCTTGCTGATACATGTCTCCCCCCATACCACTGATACATGTCTCCCCCCATACCACTGATACATGTCTTCCCCCATACCACTGATACACTATGTTGTGCTGATGCGGCGCCATGTCTCGGTTTTGATCTTGACCTTGTGCAGTCCACACTATCGTGACCGTGCTGGTGACCGTGGCGACAGACACGACCGGCGCGATCGTGACCGCGGTGACCGGGACCGAGACCGCCGTGACCGTGATGAAGACCGCTACAATGACCGTCACAACGACGACCGTCACAACGATGACAAGTACGAGCGGCGGCATCGTTCTGATGATCGACGAGACCGGGATAGGGACAGGGACCGCGACCGAGATCGTGACAGGCGTGACGATCGCGACAGGGATCGTGACCGGTACGACGACCGTGACAGAGACCGGTACGACGACCGTGACAGAGACCGCTACGATAGTAGGGACAGGAGGAGAAGATGAAGTCCGTCCTTTAGTGCAGCCATGTATGTCTGAGTGTGTGTGTTTGTGTTTGAATGTGCGTGTGTGTGTGCGAGCGTCAGAGGGAGGGTGTGTGTGCCCGCGTTTTGTATAGTTTGTTTACCATTGCTAATTTTGCTGACAGCCAAGTTCTCAACAATATCTTCACATGTCCATAAAATTACTGCTTGTTCTTGTACATATTAGTCTCAACATTCACTTGTACATTTAAAACATATAGCAATGCTCCAATTTCAATTTTATCATTTAGTTATAATAAGATGGTGGGGTGATGATTGTATACTTCCACTGTTTTGTATAGCACAGACTTCTTCATGTTGGAATTCATACCATTCTGCAACACTGTATTTCTGCTAGTTTTCAATTACTGCTTCACTTGTATATTCGGTTCCCTCTTCTTCTTGCCTCGTGCGATCTTAGGTTCTTCAGCATTGTACATAATGACCATGACCTTGGGGAAGCGACTTGATCGTAGCTCCTTCTCTTGCCTCATGTTCGCGTTGCTGTCTTCTTGGTGGTGGCGTTGATGCTGGACGCCAGCTTGTGGGTCCTCTGCATGCTTCATGGATTCTGCGGGGCGTCTTGCAATGGAGCTATCTGAGCGAGATGGAACAAGAGTGTGGGCTAGATGCGCCACCCACTGGGAAAATCGTGGAGTGCACGTGGATAACACCCGCATTGCTCATGAAAAGTTATGATCAACACTGGCCAGATGTTCACTGGTTTGAGGCCGGGAGAGACGTACACCAGATGGACAGCCATTTGCTGCACTTGTGCCGTACGCCAAACTGGCCAGGATACCTGATTACCAATACCAGCAGTCATGCAGTCCACGAGTAGCTCCATGGTGTGCTTCATTTCGAGGAGACTGCATCTTGACCAGTACCTACTAGTATTAGGTAACACTGCAGCTCCTTGCTGCATTGGCTTGCTTAGCTGATGGACCCAAGGCTGGTTGATCTGTGTGCCGGCAGCCTCACTGAGGTGCAACACAGAACTGTAACTAAAGACTGCTGAGCTGCTGGCCAGGCTAGAGAGATTCCCGGGTCATTGCCATACATTATACTCCTCATCGCCACTGGTGTATGGATGTACTGCAGTGGAGGATTGAACCAGCGACATGTCTACGTACTGGCAAAGCTGACATTCTAAAGTACATGCATGCCTGGTTCAATAACGACTCGTATGTCGGCAATGGTGTCAACCCTTCCGTGTTCCTAGGTCCTATCGAGTCAGGTTAGGCAGCTTCTTAGCAATTTTGTCCTGGCTGTCAGCAATGGTGGCCTTCACTGATTGCTCAAACTCTTCCAGCACCTCCTTTGTGACACTAGCCGTGATGTCTTTGATCTCCATGGCAGAGAATCTCCCTAGCAAGGCTTCCAGCTGTGCCTTCTTCTCGTCCTTTGTTCTCACCAGAGGTTTCGCAGCAGCTGCTTGTCCTGATGCTTTTGCCTTGCCCGTCGCATCTTTTGTCTTTTTATCTGAAACCGGCGTGGCAGCGGTCTTCTTGTCGGTTTTCTTCGGTGGCTGATCAACCTCGACGTTCCTACTGGCTCTCTCGATGAGACGCACCGGCATAGCAAGCTGCAGTATAGGTGGAAAGGTTTTTGGCTCGTTGTCAAACCTTTCTGGGTGCAAGTCGAACATGTGCCCGACATGCTTGGATATGGCTATGTCTTGTGGCTCCGTCAGAAAGAAGCTGAGTAGCTCATAACTATCTAACACACTAGCACGCAAGGACTGTACCAGGTCGTTGCACATGCCCACCAGGGCCGAGAATGCTGGTGGGCCACGCTGGCTGACCGAGTGAGCCTGCTCCGATTCGGCCAGTTGCTTGGCAAGCTGCTTGAACGTGCTGCACACGCTCTCGTGCGAGCTGCCCTTGCGAATGTCGGCAACAAGTTCGCTGAGCATGGTTAGCGCATAGGTTTGTAACCAGACAGGATACTGCTGTTTGCGTGTGTGCCAGTACAATCCACAGTACTGGTCTAGCAGGCCTGCGTCAGACATTGAAGTCTCGCAGTTGACCAAATGGAATAGTTGCGCAATATCTGCTGCAATGGCCTCGGCATCTTCCAGCTGGTTGATCTTGGCCACTGATGTCGTTGGCACAGTATACTCTAGCTGCGGCCGGACTACTTCAGGAATCGTTGCCTCCTTGATAACCGGTTCGTCCGGAGGAAATGTGCTGGTTACGGACGAAGCTGATTTTCTCGACGACGAGCGCTTCATCGTGACGAACAACTCTACTCAGCTGCTAGTGAAGAATGGAAATAATAACTGAAACAATTATTACTAATTGAAACACTATACAGGACACGTCTGGAGCGTAAGCTACTCCACCCCGCCTCAAAACGAAAGAATCACACAGCCACTTTACTCAAGATCAGTGTGAGCGAGGAGATAGACAGACGGGTCTTTGGCTTCTGCTGGCTACGAGTCGTTCGAACCTAGCGGAATGGGCTCGGTCATGATTTCGCCCCCAGATTTGATTCTGGCCCTCTAGCTCTGGGCTACATGATACAGCGTCGTTCCACTTCCACTCCAGACTGGACCAAGGCGCTAGGCAGAGGCAGATCCCCAGTTTCAGGCACTGGGGAAGGACTTACACTTACAGTTTCAGGTCGATCAAGATCGCGCTCAAGTACTGGCGATACACCTGATACACTGTCGCGTGTCCGTGCAGTCGTGCAGTTGTGCGCCTAGGCTACGGGCACGGCCTAGCAAGTAGCATGCAGGCCTAACTACTTGGTGACCAAGCTTGAGAGGTTGCTATACAAACCATGTTGTCTTGACAAAAATATGGTCGCACTTTCTGTCTGATGCTTTCAATGATGTGTCTTTTGAAGTAGACATGGTCTATTTGGTGGAAGTCCCGGCATACACTCGACGTCAACATTTTTAAAAGTCAAAGCGTTTCCAGCATGTGAGGGAGTCGGACAACTCCCTGATTTCAGACTATAAATAATTATATCGGGGGGGGGGGGGGGGCTAAATATGCCACACCTAGTACTACCGTACTGGCAATATATGTTGCCGCGTAACGCATAACGCAGGGGGGGGGGGGGGGGGGGTGCGGCGTAACGCGCGACCAGGCTAGTGCGACAAATTTTAGTTGAGTTCGTAACGCGCGTCCGGCGGGGTGCGGCGATCTTTTCATTGCAGTTTGCAAAAAATGATGCGGCAATAGCAAAAAAATGATGCGGCAATAGCAAAAAAGTGATGCGGCAATAGCAAAAAAAGGACTGCGGCAATATAGAAACCTGTGTAACGGCTCCTGTGCGACTTTGCATGTAACGCCCTGCGTGCGGCAAACATGTGCCAATGTAACGCTTCATGGCCTCACTGCGGCAACATATATTGCCAGTACGGTAGTAGTAGCAAGAGTATATAACCCCCGGGGTTATACTCTTGGTACTAGTAGTAGAAGTAGAAGTAGTAGTAGCACCTCACAAGCACCCATTTTTTTCTCGTTCTTTTCGTCAATAGACCACTGTACAGGTGGCATAACCACTATTAACCAGCACTGCAGGTACCGGCACACTGCCAGCACAGGTAGTCGTTTATACGACTCCCTGGTTTGTACGACTGTCCCTGGTATGGGTGGTTGACCATGGAACACCAACAAGTTTACATCACAGCACCCCGATTTTCTACTCCAGAGCAAGTTATTCTCTGACACGAGGTTGAAATTCTCAGCCATGCCGACCCTCAACCCTATCTATGGCTCATCACTGTTGTTAGAGGGTGGCGCTGGTGGCAGGAAGCACGGTATCAGCCTCTGCACGCATATGGCTGTTTTCGCTCACCCGTGTGGTCTGAAGCAGTACAAAGAAAACTACAGTCAGACCTCGCTTAACCGCACACATCCGTTTTCCACGAAAATATCCGGATAAGCGAGGGAACCGGATAATCAAACACCCCTACATTATGGATGCATGGCATATGCTGTAAATCAGTAACCGGCGATTTTCTTCCGGATGGCGAGGGATACGGATAAAAGAGGACGGGATAAGCGAGGTCTGACTGTAGTACACTACATACAGGAAATCACGGGAATGAGCAGCTAAACAATTATAGATTGTTCAACATACTGCACATGACTGTATAAGACAGAATGTGGAGCTGCAACTCGAGTTTCACACAAAAGCCATCTTGTAAGAAATGTCGTTTAATCGCTTTTTGTGCAAAACTAAAGAGCTAATGCTGAAACCGCCTCATGTTGTCTTCTATGCTAGAAAACTCTCCCCGCCACTTACGAACACTGACCGTGTGAGCAGTGGACGTTTTTGACACAAGCATCATTTACTAATACTAGTTTTGATTCCCCAATGTTCAATGTCCATTTTCGTTTATTCTATTCATTGCTTCAATCAAACCCTTGTCCGGCTCCACGTCACCTGTACTGTGTAATGGTTTTCATTTAATGTTCTTGATGTCGAGCAGGTCAACAGTAGAATATGTTTCTGCTGTCATACTCAATTGAGAAATTTGGTACATACATGTGGCCTCCCAAGGATCGAAAGTACAAAATAAGAATGAAACTGTTAAAAGGATGTTGGAGGTAAAGCGAGGTGACAGGGTTAGAATATCATGACCAGCAAAGCATCCAGTGTCCAGTGTTGTTGTCCTCACATGAAGTCAGCTGCCCGTGGTCTGGACATGCTTGGGGCTGGGCCATGACTGGCGTCCCGCGGCGTCCCAACAGGGGAGTGCTTGGATTGAGTGGCCTGAGCAAGCGGCCCGCTGCAACACAACCCAACACAGATCAGAGTTTAGCGTGTTATCCTCTCGTTTACTTGTGTGTGCAGGGTATCGGCCGATCCTTTTTGTTGTTGCAGACAAGACAGAAAAATGGATCTGCTACATTTGCCACAGGAAGTGCATAGTTTCCTTTCCTTTAGTGAGTACATGTACACATGTACGGTAAGGTCACTATGAACTCACTAGCACAATCCTGTGATTGTGAGTGTGTCCCGTACACATGCAGGGTACAAGCGCGTGCCCCGTATGGGTTCCTGGGTGCCCGGAACCCCCCCAAAATGCAGGATTTTGCTTCATTTTTTGAAAATTTTCCCGGGGAGAGGCCCCCGGAACCCCCCCCCCGCCCTTGAAGGGCACCGGCGCACACGCCTGGAGTAGCACAGACTGCGTAAGTTCATCAGGCTCTAGCACCATGAACACTCAGCTTTTCAAGGGGAATGAGCGAGAAACGTATGGCGTTACACAAAGCATGTGCCATTGCTCAGTGACAGGTTAGGCTTGGATCAGAGCAAAGCACCAGCTTCTCCTGTGCCTTTACAGGCAAAGAGAGTACTCCGCATATAGAATAGGTGCAGCATTCAGCACATTTGAACCGACAGTGAAAGTAAGACTTACAACCCTGGACACTGATTTGTTTAAACTAACCTGTCATCACTGTCTGATTCACCGGTGCTAGAGTCATACCGCTTTGAGCGCGACTGGTGGTGCCGGGATTTCTTGCTCTTCTTCGCTTTCTGTGTGCATAAGAGACAGACATGTTTGCAGTAGAGGACACAGTGACTGGCAGTTACAGCGATGTACGTATGGAACAGCATGTACTGGCCCTGGTATGTGACTGTGCCATGGGCGCATGCATAATGACATGCTGTTGTTACTCAGCTTGTGGTATTTGTTCCCTTCAGGTACACCCGTGTTCTAGGCCTGGAGGGAGTTTCATAACGTACTTGTACTATGATGAAGTGCTGTGTGAATGCATGACATCTCTGCAAATATGTTGGCCCGTGCCACGACCGCCAACAAAGTGCAACGTGATCTAATATCACGGTGCACAGGTGCAAGCTAACATATATAAAATGACAGATTCACTCAACCTATGGAAAGCTAGCGTTTTCGACCTCACCAGGTCTCATTAGCAGTGCTACATAACTGCCAGATTCTGTTGTCCAGAAACTCAAATGCAGAGTTGCACACTCTAATTCCCATACTCTGGCTACAAGGATTTGTCATCTACAGCTCTGAGCATACCGGTAAGGATAACCTTCCATATTCGAGAGGCCTTGTATGCCTATTACTCCATTCTTGTGCCATCAAACGATGAAAAAACAGACTTGAATGCTGTGCCTACTAGATTGCACAACCAGAATCCAGTATGCGTAACTGGGGTGTACACTAGGTTTGGCTGCAAACGATGACGGCTACATCAGAGAAGTCTACTACCACAGAAAATGTCCGCTGTTGTGCGTTTGGTTGTCAGAGTACACAAAGCGAGCTGTGGCACTGTTGCAAGGGAGCACAGCTTACCTTCTCTTTCTTCTTGTGCTTTTTGTGCTTCTTGTCCTTGGGTGCTTTGCTCCGCTCTTTGCCAGGCTCTACATACCCATGACTTGTTGGTGTGGTATATGTACCTTTAGAAATCAAACATATCCAGCAGATGTTTTCTTTAGCAAAAAAAGAGGCGGCCTTTTCAAGGGCTTTATGGCAGGACACATGGAGAGAGAGAGAGAGAGAGAGAGAGAGAGAGAGAGAGAGAGAGAGAGAGGGGGGGAGAGAGAGAGAGAGAGAGAGGGAGAGAGAGAGAGAGGGGGGGGGAGAGAGAGAGAGAGAGGGAGAGAGAGAGAGAGAGAGAGAGAGAGAGAGAGAGAGAGAGAGAGAGAGAGAGAGAGAGAGAGAGAGAGAGAGAGAGAGAGAGAGAGAGAGAGAGAGAGAGAGAGAGAGAGAGAGAGACAGACAGAGAGACAGACAGAGAGAGAGAGAGAGAGAGAGAGAGAGAGAGAGAGAGAGAGAGAGAGAGAGAGAGAGGGGGAGAGAGAGAGAGAGAGAGAGAGAGAGAGAGAGAGAGAGAGAGAGAGAGAGAGAGAGAGAGAGAGAGAGAGAGAGAGAGAGAGAGAGAGAGAGAGAGAGAGAGAGAGCTACTGCACAAGATACAAGATGGATGGAAATACATGTAACTTCAAAAAAGAAACAAAGTTGTCAAAACAATACAAAGGGGAGACGGTTGTATGACCACGAACAGGGTATTTCCTACACAGATCCTGACTTGCTTCCAGGACTATTTGACCTAAGAAGGACCAGACCCCGATGGGGTAGGGATGGTTTAAGTTTGCGTTCATATGCCCAAACTTGCCTTCAGGGACACACAGAATGTATGGCAGGGAAAACACTGCATATGACGTTACCAATGCAATATTTTCTATGCAACAACCTGCCATTTTAAACGTACCCCATTACGCATGTTGGCACAATGCAAGACCCAATGTACGGCAGAAGACAACAGCATCTTCCTTATTGGCCATGGGCCATCGTGGAAATACAGAATAATAATAGCATCCCATACAAAAGTGGGCTACCCAGCCTATTAAACTCACCAGTACTTGTACTCATTGCTGGAGGCAGCGCCGGACCAAATTGATCGTCGTCGCTCTCATCAGATTGGGCTGCAGCCTCCTGCTGGGACACAAGGCAGTACTGAGTAAGTGGTCCTACGTGTTGTACCGTATGCGTCACAATCACACACACTGTGAAATAGATCATCTCTGCCACCATAGGCACACAACGCTAACAACTGCACACATCTGGACAAGCACTGGAGTAGCCATGTCACATATCGCATCGATCAGAACACGGCAGTACAGTGCTAATCTCCACAATAGTAATGGTTCACAGCCAGAGAATGATGGGCCAGATCCGAAAATTCGTGGAAATAAATTGATTCGATTCGCAGTAAAGAGACTATTATTGGAGTTGAGGAGTGAAGTTTTACACTTTGAAGCACAGTCAATTTGTGCACACAAAAAATGGTCACCAAGAAACAGAAGTGGCACCATTGACACATTCTAATCCAGCAATATGGCTCTTCTGGTTATAAGATTCCTTCCAATAGTTAGTGTGATCCATGTAGCAAATTCATTCCCACACATGTGAACTGGAAGCAGACAAAAACATTCAATCAGCAATGTAGAATACCTGTGGCTTGGCTTGTTGATTACGCGGTACAAACACATGCCGTGGCGGAGAGCCTAAGCAAGAGCAAACAAATCAACACAGCACAACACTAACATTCATAGTATTTCTTACATACACATACATACACTCGCTGGAGCCATAGGAGTTTCTCAGCTGCACTTGTAGCAATACCACAGTGCATCTGCCACCCTGGTATCTCAGGCATGCCATAAAGCCTATAGCATACAGGCATGTCATAAAGCCTATAACGTACTTGTATGCTCTGTGGCCAGTCACCTGCAACACGCACACTGTGACAGCATACTACAGTCGCGTACCTTTAACAAAAATTCACGGTTCGCGTGAGACTTGGCTGGAGGCCGAGTTTTCCGTATCCGTAGGAACGCCATCACCCTCTATGGATCATGTACATGTACCCTTGCACCGAGTCTAACATACCTGTATACGAAGGATAAGAACCATGCCTAACCTACCTGTGTGTGAAGGATATGAATCTCCACCAGTATCACCAGTCTGCTTCTTCTCAGCACCGGCAGTACTAGCTGCTGCTTGTACCTGATAGAACACCAAACACACGAAACGATATGATGATTGCAGCGTTGCACACACAACAGCGGGATTACGCTAGTAGTACACCAAAGTTGACAATGACAGACAGATCGTATTGAAGATACAGTGTATTACAAGTACTCAATCAGAATTCGAAATTAATAATCTCCAGACCTAGCTCTTTCGATTTTGTTAGGTCTCCGCAGCGGAGCTCAGAATGACTGGCTGAACCCATCGCAAGGAGGTCTAGTGAACAACAAAGCATGTTTTAAATCCGCTCAAAGAATCAAAGTCAGAGTGCTCTAACTGCGAGCAACACGGCGAGCTTTGCACGAGGGCAGATACCTTTGACGTTATCCAGAAAGAGTGCTCAACCACGCCAAGGCGAGGGAGTGAGTTTCAGAATTAGAGTTTACAAAAGAGCACTGAAAGGACTGAACAAGGCACTGCCGGAATAGACTTGGTGTCCAATGATCACCCTTTGGCGTAAAACTCGGAGTAACAACGAAAACTCATTCAATTTAGTTCACAGTGTGTGAGCAGCTGTGCGCGCTGTGCATTGAGCTCTATCACAGCAACAGTGCCTGGCTGGCTGTGTGTGTAGACATGGAACATGTAGAGCTTACCGATTCTGGTGCAAGCACACTCTTAGCAATGGCACCGCTAGACGAAGCAGCATTGGCGCCATCGCTGTCACTGTCGCTATCGGTTGAGACACCTGCGTCTTCGGAGTCGGATGCAAAGATGGCCTTGAAAAAATCCATACTGGGTCGGTCGGGCCCTTTCTCTTCTTCCACCTCGGCCTCTGCTTGTGTTGGCGGCTGTGAAGAAGTTGTCAAGGAGACGTCCATGGACTCTTCTTTGCTAGCCTGGCAAGAAAACGCAGGAGCAACAAAAGGCAGAGCAACGGCTGTCCAGGAGTACAAGCCATACATGCACGGTGCAGCGCAAGGCCTACTAGTATCTTTGGCTGAATGGACAGTAAATCTGAGCATCTGCTTTTCTGTGGGTTTACATCTTGCCATAGTCCAACCATGTACTACTGTATACAGATTCTGGCATGCAAGCCTCCCCCTCCAGGCCTCCTATATTTTTTCAGAAACGTTGTCCTCACGTCCTCATGTGGACTAACAGAAAATCACCATTGATTCAAAAATGACTCTCTTGCAGCAATGCAATACGGCGCAATGTTCCCAGACATAGTTACAGCAAGCAGCGGGAACAACAGCATACACGGCAATCTGGACAGTGTTGACACCATCAGCCAGGCAGTCCGCTATGTTGACAAGATCTAACAGCACATACAGTAGAAAAGTGAATGGCATCGAGCAGTGCACGTTAGGTAACTAGTGACTTACAGTGCCCGCACGGTCTGCGGTGTTCTTACTGCTGTTAGCAGTGACAGTGGCACTCTCACCAGCACCGCCACTACTAGTGGTGACGGGTGACGGCTGTGTACTGGATACACTCTCTGCAGGCCGGTTGGAGGACTTCTTGTTCAAGATAGAGAGCGGTCCGGTTGGAGCAGGGCGGGAACGTGGCTTGCTCGGCTCGGTCGATATAGTGAAGGATACAGTTGAGGATGGCGACTTCGCTCCACCCGGCTCGGGATCGGTGACAGGTTTGAAGGTGGAAAGTTCTTTAGCATTGTTGCTGCTGCTGCTGTCATCAGCTGCTGGAGCAGCAGCAGCAGTGTCCGTTGGGACATCATCATCAGCTGGCTGTGCTTGCGCTTGCGCTGTTAGAAAGCTCATATTCAGAAAATTGGCTTTCTTGTCAACCGAGTCCGTGAGCAGTCCAACGAAGTTGGAACTATGGACAGTCAAAGCACACAAGAACAGGCAAACACATGAGTCAAATGTACTTGTACAGTACTTCTAATACTTGGAAACTGGTGCCTAAGAGCAGAACACGTATTGAAGATATACCAGAAAAATATAATATTATTAATAATGTCACTGTGTAACAATCAGTAGAATCCAGTGTTCTTCAATGCATTCCTCCCCGCTTGGTGCAGCCAAGAAGTCCTTACTTAGGGTATGGGTCGGGCACATTGAACCGTTTGCACACCAGACGATCAGGATGCCACTCCAGAGTAGTGCGCGTCAGCTTGCCAAACATGTTTGCACGGGCTGCAGATAACTGGTCTTTCGGATCATTCTGTAGAACAAGAGATGAGCAGTGACATGTTACAGTGAATGCAGCCAAAAACTATTATCAAGGTGACAATGCATGGCAGTTTTTGTGACTATCGGTAAGGAGCTAGAGGATAAAATGCCTCTTCCTCCAATCGAAATATTAATCATGCAAGCACTGCACTCTGCTCAATTTTACAGACAGTATTACACTACGCTATAGATAATAAGCTACCAGGCCAAATGCCTTCCAACAGAATCAAGTTAAACCTCATCTGAGGTCTCCCCAAATCACTTTGCCAATGTTCAAGAACAAGCTGCTGCCTTGGATCAGCTGAAAAGCAGCAGCATATCATGCCAAGCAGGTCAAGAAGGACCCCTCTGCTTAGATAGACAGCTGATAACCTGTAAGCCCTAGTAGCATAGCTCTGGCTAACCGAGGAGGCAAATGACTGTCCATGATCCTCATTTCTAGAACTGCTCAGATGAGCGCCCTTACCACATGCTCAGCCAGAACCGTCTCTTTCTGCTCCTCTGGCTTGTAGTCATCCCCTTTAGCCGGCGTGAAGCGGGCAGCCATCGCACCGCCGAGTGGTCGGTAGAGCTGCGATGCACGGGCAAACTCTTCTCGCTCTCTCTGCTCTTCCCATTCCATCATTCCTGAAAGGAAAACAGCAAGAAAGATACAATCATTCACAGGGCAATGCAAGAAGAAAAGAAGAAGAAAAATTAAAGGAAAATTCAATAGAAATTCTGCATTTGAATGAAATATACTTGGAGGGGGGGGGGGGGGGTCATTCTTACCTGCAGGTCTGGTATAGTTTTTCCCAGCAGTAACAGCTTCATAGCGTTGCTGCTTGTCCGGGTCACTGGCATAGGGCTTGAAATGACTGGGCCCAGCAGCTGCTGCGGCCGGAATGGTCCTGTTGTGACAGGAAACACACACATGCACACACATGCGCGCACACACATGCGCACGCACACACACACACACACACACACACACACACACACACACACACACACATGCGCGCACACACATGCGCGCACGCACACGCACACACACACACACACACACACACACACACACACCAAAAAAACAAAAACATGATTGGCATCAATTGAAGGCAAGAAGCCATCAGAATACAAATAGACCGCACTCAGGGAAAAGCATACCATCAAGGTATGGAAGCAGCCTCCTCCCCGGGGGTGACTTACGATGAAGAAAATCGAGATGCCAGTGAAGCACCCGCAGCTGACCGCATGCCAGCACTTGACAGGCCTGGAGGCACTGGCTGAGGTGGCACGCGAGCTGCTGTTAGCGAGGCTGCCGGGGAGCTTGCTAGCTTCTGACTAGCTGCGGCTGTAGCCGGTGCGGTTGTTGCTGACGGGCGCACGACCTGATGCTTGGCTTGTGCCAGGCGATCACGGTCCTCCGGCGCCAGGAGAGAGAGAACGGACATATCCTGCAGCCGCTGCTCGCCCAACAGCTGGCCGCGAGTCTTCGACGTCATGGTGCTGTCCACCAAACCTACACAGAGACATCACACGATACGGGACATGGTCAGTGTTAGATGACAACCCCTGTTGAGATGCTGGGGAGCTGAGTCGCCATATGTGCCCCCCCCCCCCCCCACACACACAATACCGCTTTTAGAGAGAGCTACATACTACCAAGATTATCACGTTGCGTGTGCACTCTATAATTCTTTTGCGAGCCACAGTACAGTACTTTGATCAGAGCATGGCGCATACTTGGAAGTAGTTACAGTAACACTACAGTACATGTACAGTCAAATCTGTCGTAAGCGACCGCCCCTTGGTGCAAGAAAAAGCGGTCTCTAACGGCAGATGGTCTCTTACGGCAGATGTATGGTAAATCCGGCATACCGGGCATGCATATATGCTTCCATGTACTCAAATCGACTAGAATAATGTGATTTTTAATATCATTTTATTGGATATTCAATAGAATATAGGGGTGCCGGGGCCAGTCGATCGTACTTGCAAGACAGCACATTTTCACAACTTGCAGTTGACAGCGCACTGGTAAGTACAGTTTCGCACCTGACTGAACGACATACGTGGGTCGCGGTCGCTTACAGCAGATTTGAATGCAGCCACCGTGCATGAAATCGCGGTCGCTGGTCGCGCACAGCAGATGGTCGCTCTGGACAGATTAATTTGTACGTGAAACCGTCGGTGCACGGAAAATCGGTCGTTAACGGTAGATGGTCGCCTACAGCAGAGGTCGCTAACGGCAGATTTGACTGCATCACTGGCCTGGTCACAGCGGTCAGCCGACTAGCTCCATATCACCGTCTGTACCTGTGTGAATGTAGCGCTGCAGCTTTACACTTGTCACTAAGACACAAAGAAACAGTTCATAGGTAGCACTGTGCCGGTTGCCTCAAACTACATGCACTTGCCTATCACAGCATATTATGTGCAGGCATGCTCTGTACACTTACCCATCTCTGATGCTGATTTCGGAGGAGCGTCCTTGAACTGATGGTAGGGCTTGAAAGCACGAGGCACCTCAGGACCGCGGAAAATCTAAGCAGCAGACACAAAGCACACGGCACATGTACATATAGACACGCAAAGATGCAGTCCAGTGAGTGGGTATTGTGTGCGTGCAGGCTGGTGGGCGTGCTTGCGGGCGTGCTTGCGTGTGCTGTGTGTTCCTGCGGATGCACGACTTCTTTACATGGACGTATGTTAGCACTTCCACTCTTTCATGGCAGTACATGCTGGCTAGCGATGTCATACCTTTCTGGGAGGGTTCGGATGCTTGGCCTTGGCAAACGCTGATAGGGAATCACCGCCTTCTGCACGGGGACACGACACAGCATGAACACAAGCAATACTAACCACACACCCATTACACTGATGCTCTACACAACTCAGGCGCGTACGCAGGGGGGGGGGGGGGTTTCCCGTTGCCCGGAAACCCCCCAAATGTTCCAAACGAGCAACGTTTTTGGGCATTTTTGGTGGGGCGCATGATCGATCTGGCAAGAATGCAAAACTTCAAAAGATCGTAACTCAGTCAAATCTCGCTCAAATCCAACGATCCAAATATCCAGGTCGAATAGAAAACTCTCAGCTGTCGGTTGAAAAAATTTGCGAAGCGCTGCGAGCAATGTATCGTGAGATAAATATTTGTAAGTTGAGCCACGATCTCGGCAATTTCAAAAGCGCGCAGTGCGACTTGAGTATCGAGAATTTGAGATTGTCGTCGCGCTGATTCGCTCAAATTTGCAGGGGCTCTACTTGTGATATTTTCAAGAGTACACAGCAAACAAATCGAGACTCTGCGATCAAGAAAAACGAAATCGCTGGAGCAGGACACGTTTGGGCCTGTTTGGGGCATTTTTCGCACCGTCGCTGCACTCTACCGTTATAGCCTATAGCGCTGGATATGTACATGACTGTACTGTGTCCTGGCTATCATGGTCGACCTCATTCTGTCCCTGGTACCTTTCCACTTCCAGGAAGCCCAAGATAATGAAGATTGAGTGAATAGAACTGAAGTTATGATCCAAACAACACGAAAAAATGCATAATTTTTGAAAATTTCCTAGGCCTATAGGGCTCTTTAGAAAGGGTTAAAACTTAAAACTTATTGTTTGGGATTCGGTTGGAAACCCCCCTAGTTGTGACCCTGCGTACGCGCCTGCAACTCATAGGAATACTTCTCTGACCCCCCCCCCCCCCACACACACATGCACATATTCCCAAACACCCATGACTGGAGTCATTGAACAGGTTTAGAGTATACCATACCATACCCATGAATAGTCCCATGGCCCCAATGTATTCAGTAGAGTAGAGTGCTGTTGCACAGTATTGACTGGTGTACAGTATTGACTGGTGCACAGTATTGACTGGTGCACAGTATTGACTGGTGTACAGTATTGACTGGTGTACAGTATTGACTGGTGTATAGTATTGACTGGTGTACAGTATTGACTGGTGTACAGTATTGACTGGTGTGCAGTATTGACTGGTGTGCAGTATTGACTGGTGTGCAGTATTGACTGGTGTGCAGTATTGACTGGTGTGCAGTATTGACTGGTGTGCAGTATTGACTGGTGTGCAGTATTGACTGGTGTACAGCATTTTACAACCAATTGAAGCCAGCATGCCCTTGACATTCCCTGTACACTACAGTCCATTCATTGGAAACTGGCACCCTAACTTTTTGGTGTCTCTCTCACATAGTTGTAGATATCATGAAAACAACAGCACATCCTGCATTGTGTCACAGTGTGTGACCCGTGCAATTACTCCTTGCCACATTTGAGGCCAGAAAAGTCCAAGAACAGGGAAATAGAAATTCAGCCAGGTTTTACAAAATTAGGACAGGTATGCCATGGCAAAATGTATGGAGAAGCAGATCCAAAACCCAGATTTTCGAGATTTAAAGTGGGTTTTTGATCCTCAATTCGGCCCAAATCCGACTTTCAAAAGCCAGCGGGCCAGTTTCCGATGAATGGACTCAGTGTACACTGTACTGTACGACACCATGGTAACATACCCAGGTGTTGATCATGTGATCCCGACCAGCCGAAGAACGGATCAGCCCGATCGCTGGCACCCATCGTTTGATCATAGCCAGACATGTCCTCCACATCGTAAACGTCTGCGTCTTCTTCTTCATACGCCCCGACACCGAATGCCTACACAGGACGCACACCCAATATACAATGTCAGGTGCGTAGCACCGCCGTTGGGGGTGGTCCGGCCATGGGTGGTCCGGGGATCTCCCCCCGGACTTTTTTTGAAATTAGAGTGCAAAATCCTGCATTCTGGGCACTTTTGGCATTGTTTTACGATGTTGGTCGTGGTCGGGCGAAAAAGTGGGCCGGCCAAAGCCGGACCAGCCGGAGCGGCTGCTACGCTCCTGAATGTGCAGTGGCGGCACATGAAGATAGGGAAACAACTCACAACAATGCATGGCTCGCCAGGTCATGGAGCTACTTCCTCGCTATGTCATGTCTTACAGTATCTGTGATTCAAGAAAAAGAAAAAAACATAACTTCCGCAATGGCCATGATTCGAGACACCTTTCAGCCGCTGCTCATCCGCAGAACAACTCAAGGTGTGCCACTGATATGAAGTAGTCAGACAACATAACAATCATCAAATCTCTGAATGTAAGTTATAGTGGAAATGGTGGAGTGGACTGCAATCGCATATTTTCATGCGCTCATTAGCACTTCAAAGGGTTAAGCCAGAAAACCATGACAGTATAAAGTACCAGAAGAGAGATGATGGACGACATGCCGAAGAAGCGAATTACTTACCTGTCCTGTGATCTTGAGCGACTTAGACGGGTTGGAGCGTGTCTTGTTCTGCAGCACAGCCGTGCGGTCGGCATCCATGCCCTTGTAGCCGAGGCCATGCCGTCCCACCAGGGCAGGCATGTCGGCGACATCGCTATCACGCGGTGCAAACGCCCAGTGATTCGCACTGCCGTCTGTTGTTTCGCCCTGCACAGGTTCGAGACCATACAGACCATACACATAGACCATACAGACCATACAGACCATACAGACATTTTACAATCATTGAATAGATTCTTGGTTGGAGGGAAACAAATCAGTAAAGTACCGCAAGAGCGCCCCACCTTGATTTTACAGCCAGGGAAAGAAAAATCGTATGGCAGAGTGCAACAAAGTGTGTACGGTGTGAGAACCTTAAGGCCGATTCACAATACAACTTCTTGCGACGCGAAATGCGACTTGCGACGAGCTGCGACAGTGACACACGGCTCACAATATTCTTCATGTTTGTTGCGACATCTGGATATCCTCCTGCACAAGTAGTAGTGGTGAAACGAATATTCGAACATTCGAATATTCGTTCGGTTGGTCACATTCGAATATTCTTTAAGTCGCATTCGAGTATTCGTGACGTCACTTCAAACGCAGTGCATGTACATACATGCATGCCACACACAGTACAGACAGTGCGTACAGCCTGCCTGTGACTTTGTACTACATGTTTGCACTTGTATGTGCATACTGGATTGCCAATGTTGCACATAACATGTATGACCTTCGAAGTAGCCTTATGTGGTGGTTCATTTTATGTGGCACAACCGCTTGTCATACCTAATAGTAATGACAATATACATCAAATGACTGAGAAGAGGGCATGTGATGTCACCTGTGTTACCAAAAGAATATTCGTGCGTTCGTTCGTTAAGCCAAAGAATATTCGGCTACTAGGTTTTGACATTCGTTTCACCACTAACAAGTAGTACTATGCACGTGCACTGCACGTGCACCCAGGGTCGAAACTGTACTCCATTTGTATATGTCGCGTGTCGCATGTCGCAAAAGTTGAACTTTCTTCAACTTCTGCGACAGGTGCCTTGTGACAGCTCGCGACGGGCATTAGTAGTAAGCAGTGTGAGGGTCCTGTCTCAGGTACATGCCTAAAAATGGGGTACTATTGAAAAGGGGTACTAATAGTACCCCATTTTTGCGTTGAAAATTATTTTAGGCCCGGGTTTTTTGCGGATGAAAAAAAATGTTGGTTTGGGTCTTAGGACCCCATTTTATGGGTCCCGACCTTTTTTTTTAGTGAAAATTATTTTTGGCCCCTTTTTTTTGCGTATAAAAATAATGTTGCGACTGTTATTTTGTACTCCTTTTTTTTTTTTTTTTTTTTTTTTGGTCATCAGTCTAAATTATCTGACATCATGACGATGCGGGCAAAATTTACCAATTTTTTTGGATTATCTATTCAAGTATAAAATGTGTGTGCTTGAATGATGATCCAGTCAGTTTCAAGTTGTTGTGGTGCAGTGAAAATGGATTCTGAATTTCAGATCCTGTATGCTTATGTACGTTCAAAGAAGCAATGTGCGCTGGCGGAAAAGAAGAAGAAGAAGAAGGAGGAGGAAAGTGACGGTGAAGAAGTGTGTTATCATCGTGAAGAACAAGTTGAGCATGCTGGTCATAGAGTTTGTTCTCAGTGTGGATTGGTAATGGCTGATATTTACATGCCCGAGGTAAAGTGGAGAGAGCGTTGTACTACCATAAAGACCTACACGGATTCCGATCGCATTGCAGGTGTGAATCGTCACCTTGTACATTTTCTCAACAAGATAGACTTCACGTTACCACATACACAGTTTCACCCTGTTCAAGAGGCATTGCAAGCGATGAAGAAGGCCAGTAGCTATAAAAGTATGAACTACGCAATAGTCTTATCCTGTATACTTCATGAGGATCATGATGCAGTGCGTATACTGCGTTCTTCTTTACCGCGCAGTAATGTGTCATGGTTGAGAAGCAGTCGCATTACACAACCTCTTCCATCATGTGTTCCACTGTTCTTTCTTCTGCATCTCATGGAAAACATCATGGGTCCTCTGTCCGCTAGACAGCTAAACACTCTGAAAGTTAATTTGTCCTTGATGTCACCTGCAGACCTTACCATGATGCATCTTCTAATAGATGCTTATTGTTGGCATGACTACAGTCTAGAATATTTAGTAAATCACGTGACCTCTCTACCACCTGATCTTGCTAACATACTCTATCAATTTAGCAAGACTGCAGTGCGTCATCAATGTTAGCAACACGTCACTGTGATGGAGATTTACCCTTTTTGGGAACCTGTCCAGACATGTCCAAGACATGTCCAGACATGTCCAAGACATGTTCGGACATGTACGAGACATGTTCAGACAGGTCCGGTGCAAGTCGTGCTGTGATTGGTTAAATCTTATCATCTGCTCATGGCGAGCTCTGATTGGATGAATCTTGAACAATTTCAGCGTGTTCTCCAAGGTCGTCACCTCTCATAGTATGTTACTTCAACCTCACGCCGCTCAAAAGGGTATAAATGGGCAAGTACAGTCCTCCATTCGATCACAACCACCTTTGTTGTTTCACTGCTCACTGAGCCTTCTCCCTCTCTCTCTTCTCGAGTGCTCGACTGATATCACGATGGCCACTAATGCTGTTGTTGCTGGTGAAGATGTTGTGGACTGTTTGGGTATTGACCCGTTCGCTATCAAGACGATAAAGAAGTCCGGTCTCTACAAGCGTCGTGCTAGCCGTAATCCGAATCTGGAGCCTCTGCCTAAGATCAAGATGCCATCTCCTCGTCCTACCATACTACCAGGTGTCGCCACCATTATTACGGATGGGGCAGCAGAGTGTGTTCAAGCAATGTACAGCAAGACCGCCCACGACTATCATGTTGCTCCTGGCACCGAAATCTTGTGGACTTCCGCCGTGCCGCACAGCGTGTTCTCCAAGGTCGTCACCTCATCCTACAAAACTCAAGGGGGGTCCTATTGTTTTCAATCTTACATATACTAACCACACACCAGTGTGATCTGCCACAATGTGTCTGAATTCTTTCCGTAATCTTTAGCAAAATGGGTACGTACTATTTAGTGAATGTCGACATCAGAGATAGGGTTTCCCTCTACCAGTTGCATGATGCTGCACAGGTAGACTTTTTGATCGAACAACATGATTGCTACCGTGATGGTAGGAATCCAATGGAAGCCGCTACATTTCTTTGCCGATTATCCCAGGGAACCTTTCTGGGGGCAACGTGTCCCAGAATCGACGTATGCGGGCAGAACGTGATTGACTTCGAAGAGTTATCGAGCGCGGACAGCGGTATGTTGATACACATCAAGAACGGCAAGACAGAGATGTTCACGTACTTCAACGCTCCACTACGAAATGAGCTTCAGACACTCATAACCACCAACGGTGAAAAGATGTCAGTTGGCAACTTCGTACGGCTCATCATGACGATTAATGACAACATATTTATTCGAAATGACTCAGGGAAGATATTCACAAGCCCAGCTGTGCGACTCCGTGTCCACGCCAGAAGACGATTCAACATTCTGATAAAGGTAGAGTTCGACGAGGAGTCTAATTCTTCTAACAGCGCCACGTCGGCCTATGCCCGGAAGAGGCCCAGAGAGGTGGATGATATCGACTCGGAATGAATGATAAAAATTCAAACGGTATGCTTCTTTTCTCTCTCTCTCTCTCTCTCTCTCTCTCTCTCTCTCTCTCTCTCTCTCTCTCTCTCTCTCTCTCTCTCTCTCTCTCTCTCTCTCTCTCTCTCTCTCTCTCTCTCTCTCTCTCTCTCTCTCTCTCTCTCTCTCTACTACTACTATCAATATAGATCTGATGTCAATCGTAGGGTACATTGTTTCACATAGTATAGAATTCAATAATAATAATAATTTAGAAGTCAATCGTATGTTTCATTAGTGTTCACCTCGCTGGGTGGATAGGATTTTTCTTTTTTTCTCATTTATTATAATGTATCTAGCTCCTTCGCAATATTTAGTATCTATCGCTGACAAATTATTACAAGATGTCTTCACAATAATATAATCGTGCTTCACTAAACTGCAATTTCAAAACAACTCGAACGTCTTACCTTGTGTCTGAGAGTTGTGCGACGCGCGGGTCTGCTTCTCCATGTCTGCTCGTTTCTCTAACTACCTATCTATACCTCGCTTCCAGAACGCAATAGCGTATCAATAACATAGTGAAGCAAATCAACTCTTCCTTTGAACTGCATGATTATTATGATGCTCGATAATAATAGCACCAACACAGCATCGCACAAAACATTTTGCACGTGCATACACATTTATATAGTCTGAAAAAAGTTTGCCCGGCGCGAGGCATCGTCATCATGACGTTAGATAATCGCCCTTTAGTGTACTAAGGTCACGCTTAGCATGTTTTTGTGTGGAGCTCAAAGGTAAACTGAGTACAGATTAACTGCACAGCGTGTGATGTGTGTACAAGGTATGTGTTGCCTCCACCTTCAGACAAGACACCACCTCCACAGCATGACCACGAAAGGACGAGTTGGTGGGGCGCTCTCGTGGTACTTTACAGCAATGGTACAAAAGGCCTAGTCGAAACTATGATTATGGTTTCTGTGCTTCGTGTGCATTTACAATCACAACTACAAGCACAGATAAACAAACACAAGAGAGCTGAAGAATACCGAAGAGTGGGAAGACTCCAACAAACACCACTAAAAACACCGCACGGCAACCATAGAAATAGCTCAAGATGCACATACCTTTGTTTGCACTGGTGAGTGAAACCGGCTGCTACCTGCAATGCAATACAGAAGAAGGAAACCACTTTTAATATTCTCAATGATTCATAAGTTGAATCATAACATACTTTGAGATCTCCCTATACAGCTGCTTCAACGATTCAGCAAACACAATATAATAATACGTGTTGCGAGGAAAATGTTCGACAGTACGTACCGTCATCAGTCAACCTCTGCTGCTTGGGTCCAACACCCTGGCCTTCTCTCCAGCCCATTTTCTTCAGCAAGCGAGCACCGACAGTTTGACTGCGCGTTGAACATGTACGCACGGGCACAGCATGAAGATAGAACAGTACAATCATGTACAAGAGAGTTAGAAGCAGCTCAACACAAAACAGAGCATTTTGTGCACTACGGCAATATCTAAATCACACTACTGTAAGACCAGATATTTTAACGTCAATTAAAGTTAACGATCTCAGGATTTTTGTGGGTTAACGAGGTGAAATTCTAACGAATTCTGTCTCAAAACCGGCAAATGACTGTACATGTACATATCGTTTTGCACAGAACAACTTCAAATGTTAACGATTTTTTTCAAATTCGTTAACTCATCAATAGAATTAAATATTCGTTAACATTACTGGTCTTACAGTATACGTAATCAAGAAACTCTTCCTCCTGAGATATATGTCGGGAATTCCTTACTGACCTGCCTAATATGGTGTTATCTAGCCGAGTTCTGGTGATGACAGTCACATTTTTCTTCAGATTTTTTCCCCTTTGCAACCCGTCAGACTTATGAACAATACAGCATAGCTAATGATTGATGATGATATGTAACCAACCTGGCTGGAACAACTAGGTCATGCAGTGGTGCTACCCCAGGGATGATGGAATGGTGAGCGTCCAGGGCGTTGCGACGTTTCTCCTCCTCACCGGCAGCCACATGTCTGTTTTCCGGGTGAGTGAAATCAGTCTTGGTGGACACGTGACGAGGTGCAATGCCAAACTCGCCCAAGTCCTACAGAGCAACAGAACGAGTACAGCAGCCGAGAATGCTTAGAGACACGCACGCAAACATGTACACACACATGCACACGCGTACACACACGCACACACAACAATACAATACAATAATGCCCATCCGGAGATGATGGCAGGTCCTGAAAGGACCGACAGTGTTTCAGTCACGCGGAACAGAACTTCGAGTGGCGAGTGAGGTCCTGGCGACGGCGAAAATCTCGGCCGCAGTGGCACCTGAAATCCCGAGACACAGGCTTAGGTGGCTGGATGGTGTTGCAGGCCAGTCTCCGCGCACGACGGTCCTCGGCTAGGCTGTACCAGTCATTGATGTGGCGTTCCTCTAGGTCAATCACGATGTTGTCACGCCAGCATCATGGAGATGGCCTGAGTAATCTTCACTGGTCTGTACATCCTAAGACACGCACATAACGTGCATGCGTGCAGCAGCTGCAGCAAGATAAGTCCAATCGCACAGGTACTGCAATGCCCTGCCCATTGCACAGTCCAGTGCGAGGGCCACGCAGCCCCCAGAGCCCCTGTAGCCGGCCATGAGGTCGGACTCCGAGTTGCCATGACTGTAGACAGCTCCCCTGTCTAGCAGAAATATCCCTGTCAGCTGCAGTAGGGTTGGAGAGCCCCAGAAGGCAAGACGGTACTCACGTGACCATTGCCTTACTTTCAAGCACAGCAGCATTTCAAGAATATTATTGATCACTTCTCCTAGAGACGTTTTCCACAAACTGATCTAACGGAGAAATAGCTACGTATGCTCAGCACACTCAAAATCTTGCTAGTAGCGGGGGATCATTGCATTCTTAGCCTAATGGCTCTTAGGGCGCGTTCGAATTGTCTTCATCAACTGTTCTAACAAATTTTATAAAGAGATTAGTTGAAGTGTCCCATTAGAACGGTTTCTATCATTTTTAGAGTTTTTCAGTGGAATTGCCATGGCGATGATGACGTCCGATCAGATCGACCATCTCCACGTACTACGTGACATAGCTATTCCAAACTCTTCGAAACTAATCCACCTTCCCATCGGATGAGTTTCGAGGAGTTTCGAGGAGCTTCGTTTTTCTGAAGAGGCCAATAAGGCCACCTCTTCAGGAAAACGAAGCTCCTCGAAAAGTCGAAGAGTGAAAATTCGAATGCGCCCTTAGACATGAAGTTCCACTAGGGTACATAATACTTCTTTGAAGTAGACTAGTACAGTGTTTGTGATTACCTCATCGTCCATGAAGTCCTCTGGCCTCTGCTCATACTTGCCTGCCCGCTCACTGTTACTGGAGGAGAACGGCTTCGGCGCCCATCCTGCAAGTGTCAAGGATCACAAAACGACAAGCAAAGTGTTCTTCTCACTGCTTGTTCAGCACGGCAATATGAAACTTCACAAAGCCTGACAGTTTCCTACACGTTCCAGGCATGCACATCTACAGGTTCAAATCCTATGACATGCTAGGAAATGTAGTCAGCACGTCACTCCACAATGCACGCTTGGTCAATCCACTCCACTTGCACATCACCACCCATTCCAATTCCCTTGAGATTTTGAAGAACCTCCAGACAGCGGAAATAATTTCGTTATATGGGGTGGGAGGGGGTTGACCAATTTCGTTTCAGAAAACATTGATACATGCACATGGCCGTAGGAGCAGTGACACACTTGCGACTTTTGTTGTATGCATGTGCATACCGGTATATGTCAACATTTTTTACGTTCTGATGGGGAGGGGGGGGTCTAAACTAAAATAATTCTATGGTCAAAAAGTACGATATTTTTACTTCAAGCAGTATTGTTTAGCTGGTACTTGCCAGAAAAAGACAGTAATTCGGACTGTATCCTGTGCTAGGATGGAGGCAAGACTACATGTATTGGGCGCACTACATTTCATGTTGTGCGAGTGTGTGCATTGTTTTTATGTTGTCAGTAAAATACTCCTACTCGCTTGAATACTCGCTCGTTTTTCAAAGAGTACTCGAGTCCTTGATGTTGGCACTCGTTCACCCTAAGCATAATGATATCCATTGTAACTGTAGCACTAGTGCATGACCGTCAGTGCAGTGCACCCCGGGCACACATATGCTTTCCCCACATGCACCTTCCATACATGGGCCCGTCTCCGGATGCTCTGTTTTAGGCTGCCTGTTGTGGCTCTCTCTCTCTCTCTTTCACTTCACTTCTTCTTACTTCTGCTGGTTGTTTCTCATGTCATTTGTCTTGGTAAATAAATAAGTTGGCAAACCCTAGCTTTGGAATTTGCTACACAGCGTGCCAGATGCCACTGATGGCCCGAGGCTGTTGCACTGCCCGCCAACACCTCAACGGAATTGCCCTCACCATGGTGGTGATGTACACGTGGAGTACGTCGGCCTCGAGTGCATTGCGTAGTGGGTTGGCCTAGAGCGCTTCGGGGAGTGGGTCGGTCGAGAGCGCATTGTTGAGTGGTGAAGTGACTGATTTCAATACAATGGCACAGTTTGTGCTAATTTCTCTGTACTAGTACTCTGTATTTATTGCAGGAGTCATACACAGCATTGCCAATTCGCTCCCCCCACCCCCAACCAACCCCACCAGTACACCAGTATATCCACTAGTCCAAATCTTCAAATATACAGTATGTTTGGACAGTAATCCTGGCCTCACCTTCTTGGGTGCCGACCGTGTTGAAGTATCCAGCGGAAAATCCGCCAGTGAACGCCCCATGAAACCTCCTTCTTCCCTTCCAATCTACGGCGATTTGATCGTGAACAGGAACGGGCTTTTTACGCACAAAATCATCCTCATTTTCTGGCAATTCGAATGGAGTTCCAATTGACACAAATGTATCGGGCTGGGACATTTTTATTACTTCGAATACAAAACTCGGAAGCAACTACACCTTATAGCACAGAATAGACCTAATTCACAGTGCCGTGCACGATTTACCCAGCAGCAACTACTGTAACTTTGCAAGTAATTGCAAGATGAAACAACTTTATTGAGAAATAACATAACAGCTCATTTTCAAAATCAAGGTTTTTCGAGCATGATCAGCAGTTCAGGTAAAGGATGACGACGTCGAAATTCTTCTGGTCGCCCTCGCTCCACAAACTGCTTGTCACCAGGTCACTGCATGCTCAGATATGGGGAAAGTAGGGTTGGTACCAGGGAATATGTGTGAGGGTCCCTTGTTGGTACTTGCAGGTCCAACTCCCTTCCCTGTTCCCCAACATTGGCTCAAGCTGTGTCGTTGGGCTCAGGGAGCAACTAGAATTTTACAACTCGACCCAAGGATGGTACTTGCACAACAGAGAGGAGTCAGCTACAAAATGTAGATGTACGTAGGACTTGTACATGTAGGGGCATTCACAGCCCACGACGCTAACACAAAAAGACACACGCACACACTCATAGGTTCGAGAAAACGAGAAGTCCAAGGCAATATTAAAGTCCTTTTCCTAAAAAAAACATGTCACGCACGGTACGGGTGAAAAGAAAATGAATGAAGAAGAGTCAGGCAATGTACAAGGCAGAAAAGCAGCAGTGCAAATCGCTGCCTATAGAGATGAAGATATGGGCACTAGTTCGCAAGCAGTTCAGAAATTGAAAAAAATAGCTACAAAGGTCGGCAATATGATGGAATGCGTGATCCAAAATATATTTTGATTGCAGACGAAAGCATAGGTACCCCTCCCCTGGAAAAAAGGTGATAAATCATGGCAAAGGAACCATAGTAATAGATTCTAACATTGCTTGTTTGGATAACAGTGTGGAATGGGGAAGAAAAAACAGTTGAGATAGCACAACAGTAGAAGTAGCAATGAAAACAACAGCAGAGGCAGAAAGCATGCGCCCACACACGTATGAGAGAGACTGAGAAAACATACAGTGAGGACGGGCGTTCATATGGCAAGACATCAGACAAGGACAGAGAGACGGGGACTGGACAGTCTGGTCATATCAATAATAATTCACGATAATCCGGAATGCAGGATGCGAGGAGTAGCAGAGCTATGTACAGACATAAATAAAGTATGCCAGCGGCACGAAGGCACTAGCCATTCTGAACTGGGACACACACACACACACACACACACACACACACACACACACACACACACGAGCACACCAAAATATACAATATATCAAAAACTGCTATACCGTTACCGGACACCGGGGGGAGAGCTCTGGGACGGCGGTGAGCACAGGAAAGCGAGACACACTAATGCTAGGTCACGTGAGCCATGCAATCAATGTCAACAGAAACGATGATGGTATACAATCTGCGCACAGCACAAACAGTTCAGTTACCAGAAGCCGGCAAGCGGGATGATCTATGGCGCACATTAACATCAGGTATCTTGTTAGCCCAAGTGGTTGGGCGCGTCATTGAAGCTATACTTCCACTGGAAGGCTGACGCCAATATCTCGTTCATCTGCCGCTCATCCCAGTCACTCGTCGGCAAGTTCTGCAAATATATCATCAGTCCCTGAAGAATGGAGGAAGGCGAAAGAAAAGAAGATGCACACTCAGCGTGTCGATGCAATGTTCTCATGGCCATGCTCCAACAGCAGATAGGTGCATGCCCAGGACACACGTACAGTAACACAAGCAACTGTCGCTGGCAACTGGCAAGTATCATCAGCCGAATCGTGCACTGTGTAGAAGTCTCCTGCAACCTCCCCATCCTCATACAGTTGCCCCCCCCCCCCTTCCCCCCCCCCCCACACACATTTACAATGGAACACTCAAGCCGCCTTACAAACAAGGATATGTTATGAGATCTCACCTGGAAGTCGGTTTGTGCCCTCAGCTCTTTGGAGAAATTGACAAGAAACGCGGCGCACACGTACGGATGGAACGTGGCAAACCCGTCCCGTTCGCACTAGACATGCACACAGTTGCGGGAAAGAAAACCACAACTTCAATCAATATGCAGGAGTTCAACAATACACGGTCATGAATCCAGTTTGGATTGCAAAGCAGCAAGCAGCATACGAATTCTCAGAAAGGTTTATCTGCCCGTGCTCCTGCATGTACTACTTCAAAGCACACAAAGCAGCATTTAGTAGCAGAAGCAAAGCAAAGCAAAGCTCACG